CAGGTGGCATCGCGACACAGGTGACAGGGCAGTGAAACACCATGACTCCACCACAGCGATGCTGTCTGGAACTAAAAGATTACACTTAAAAATGTTAAGTTCTGGACTGGAGCGATAGCACAGCAGGGAGGGCATTTGCCTTGCATGCAGCCGACCCGGGTTTGATCCCCAGCATCCCATATGGTCCCCTGAGCACTGCCAGGAGTAATTCCTGAGTGCAAAGCCAGGAGTAAGCCCTGTACATCACCGGGTGTGACTCAAAAAGCAAATAAATAAATAACAGTAAAAATTAAGGGGCTGGAGTGATAGCATAGTGGGTAGGGTGCTTGCCTTGCACATGGCCGACCTGGGCTCTATTCCCAGCATCCCATATGGTCCCCCAAGCACCGCTGGGAGTAATTCCTGAGTGCAGAACCAGGAGTAACCCCTGAGCATCGCTGGGTGTGGCCCAAAAAGAAAAAAAAATTAAAATGTGAAGTTCATATTCCTGAAACTATATTGTAAACAATGAAAATCTTAAAAGGTGAAAAAGCTAAAATGTAAACAAGGATGTTGATTGTAAAAAACTTTGAGGGCGGCCAGCCCCCCCCCCCCGCCACGGCTCTCCCCCTCACTGCCCCCTTGCTGCTGCTGCCACCGGCGTTCGGGGTGGGCCCGAGCTGCTCCCGCAGCCAGGGTGGCCCGGGCCGTAAGGCAGACGGTGGAGGAGACGAGGGCCAAGCCGGTTGATTGATCAGTTGCCGTTTATTCCATTCTCCCCACGTGCCTGCCCCAGTCTCTCTGAGCCTCCCATTCTAGTCTCACACTCTCCTCATTCCCGTCTCCTCCTGTCTCTCCCTCTCATCTCTCAGAGCTCCATCTCACAGCCTGGGCTCTCTCTCTCCACCTGCCTGCTCCTGTATTATTCTTCGACATACTTCTCCCTCTCACCCCCTTGCTAGTCTCTCCACAGTCCATCATGCTGCTCTGCTCTCTCCTGCCTCTCCAACTCCCCAGCACTCTCCAGGCTGACACTGCACCCAGTCAGGTAGCGAACAAGAAAAGAAAGCCTTTCCTGAAGGCCCACCAAGTTCAAAGGGAACATCACCTAGGATATTCAAAGTCCTTCCTGACTGCCCAAGGGCAAAATACCTTCTAAGGTGTTTTTCTCCTTTCCACAGTCCAGTAACTCTTATCAACATCTCACTGTCACTGTCATTGTCCTCTCCTTGTTCATGGATTTGTGGGCCCAGTAACATCTCCATTTTGAGACTTGTTGTTAAGTGTGTTACTATGTTTGGCATATTGAATACTTCAGGAGTAGCTTGCCAGGCTTTGCCGTGGGGGCGAGATTCTCTCTCTCTCTCTCTCTCTCTCTCTCTCTGTCTAGCTGCTATCCCTCCAGTCCCATCAACATCTCTCTCAATACTAGTTATCAAAATACTAGTTATCTCATACAAAATACTAGTTATCAAAAATAACTAGTATTGGGGGCTGGAGTGATAGCACAACGGGTAGGGCGTTTGCCTTGCATGCGGCCGACCCGGGTTCATTTCCCAGCATCCCATATGGTCCCCTGAGCACCGCCAGGAGTAATTCCTGAGTGCAGAACCAGGAGTAACCACTGAGCATCGCCGGGTGTGACCCAAAAAACCAAAAAAAAAGAAAAAACAAACTAGTATTGAGATGAGATATGAGAGAGAGAGAGAGAGAGAGAGAGAGAGAGAGGAACATCTCAATACTAGCTACTTTTGTATGGACACAGTAAGAGATACCATTGAGGCTTGTAGGGCAGCTCTCCTGGGAACATCTTGCCACAGACTACAGCACTCAGGCCAGATTAATCATTCCTAACCCTAGCAGGGTTCAAATCTAGTTATTACTTTTTTTGGGGGGGTGGAGTCACACCCCGCAATGCACAGGGGTTACTCCTGGCTCTGCACTCAGGAGTTACTCCTGGCAGTCCTCAGGGGACCATATGGGATGCTGGGAATCGAACCCCGGTTGGCCGCGTGCAAGGCAAACACCCTACCCGCTGTGCTATCGCTCCAGCCCCTAGTTATTACTTTTTGGATCATGACAGCATTTGTCCATGACCAAGCTCTTAACTTATAGTTAAGCATTATGGTGCTTTGGCCAGGTCCATCTCACTGCCAGGGTAGCACATAGCTTACTGTTTGCCCTGGTTCTATCCAGTCCTCGTCAGGACCCTGCTTTGGGGGGCATTAGGAAGTAAAGGCAGCTGAGGCTTAGGTGAGAGAAACAGATGCCGAGGAGGGAAATATCACTGAGAGTCACATTACAAGAGCATGTCTTCTTATGTCCATACAAAAAGGACATTGCTCTGAATAAACAATGCAAGGGACTTAGGGAGAGGAGAAAAACAATATTTACAAGTCAACACAGCACAAAGAAAAAAGTTACAAATAAACATAGAGGAATGGGAACATTGTGAAGGGAGCAACCCAATAAACCTAAACTACCTGAGGCTACGCAGGAAGGACAAAACAGTGTTATCCTATAGTTGATCACAAAACCAGCAGTGCTGGGTTAAATGGAAGAGGAGGGCCGGATAATGCAGCAGGCAGGGCACTTGGGCACTTGCCTTGCATGAGGTAGACCTGGGTTCACCCCTGGACCCCTGAAAATCCCGAGGAGTGATCCCTGAGCACTGCCAGATATGGCCCCAAAACACAAACAATAGATCAAAAAGACATGGGGAGGCAAAGAAACCTGTAGCCCAACCAGTAATGAGCTCTGTGCGGATTAGACCTTTCCAGAACCAATCCCCGCGATGCCCCGCCCACTTCCTGTGTTATTTGAGCCAATCAGTGAGTCCAGGAACAATTGGTGGGTCTTGGTAGGGGTAGTTCATTTACCTGGCATGCCATCTGGGACCCAGTTCAATCCCTTGTCACCGTGCTTCGTCCCGGAGCCCGTCCAGGAGCGATTCCTGAATGCAGAGTCAGGAATAAATCATGACCACTTCGGGACATGCCCCCCAAACAACAAAACCCCTTTAGGGACCCCGTCGGGGAGAGTGGACAAGGTCAGCAGGAGAGGAAGAACTTTTCTCAAGCAAGCAATCTGAAGTTTCCCTGCCGTAGCAAGTGGCGCTTAACAGATTGTCCTGAAGATAGACGAGATTTTGTGGTAGTAGTGCCTGGTACATAGCAAGCCCTATTTTATGTTTTTTAAAAGTATCTTTAGGGGCTGGAGCAATAGCACAGCGGGTAGGGCGTTTGCCTTGCACGCGGTCGACCTGGGTTCGATTCCCAGTATCCCATATGGTCCCCTGAGCACCGCCAGGGGTAATTCCTGAGTGCAGAGCCAGGAGTAACCCCTGTGCATCTCTGGGTGTGACCCAAAAAGAAAAAAAAAAGGATCTTTACCAGGATGACTGGTCAAAGGTTGAAAGCTTGGCACAAGATAGGGAAGGGAGGGAGGGGGATAAGTATAGGAACTGACTGTTGAAAGTAGGTAAAAGGATCTACCTGATAATCTTTCAACATCTGTATTGCAAATCATAAGGCACAGAGAGAGAGGGAGGACAAAAAGTGCTTGTTGTGGGGATGGGGGAGGGAGGGAAGCTGGGGACATTGGAGGTTGGCTATGTACACTGATGAAGGGATGGGTGTTGGAACATTAAACCCAATCATGAACAACTTTGTAACTGTGTCTCACTGTGATTCGATAAATGAACAAAATGTAAAAATAAAATAAAAAGTATCTTTAGGGGGTAGTATAGTGGGTAGGGCATTTGCTTTGTACATGGCCAATCCAGGTTCAATCCCCAGCATCCCATGTGGTCCCCTGAGCACCGCCAGAAAGGATTCCTGAGTGCACAGCCAGGAGTAAGACTCAAGCATCACTGACTGTGACCCAAAAACCGGGAAAAAAAAAAGTGTTTAAGGGGCTAGAGATGTATTACAGTTGGTAGAGTGCTTGCCCTACATGTGGCAATTGGGGTTCAATCTCCAGCACCCCATATGGTCCTTCCAGTCCACTATGAGTGATCCTCGAGCTCAAAGCCAGGAATGAGCTCTGAGTATAGCTGGGTGTGGCCCCAAAATAACAATAATGTGTTTTTAACATGGAACATTTAACATGGAACAAAGCGTACTAAGAGCCAGTTAACTGCTTCTGAGGCAGACTATGAATCTTGTGAGCACTTGTTCACTTAAGAGTGGGTTCTGGAAGGATTCGAGCTAAACTTGCCTCTAGAAAGCAGGACTTCCTTCCTAGCATGAATCTTACACACCAACTCAGTTCTGACTGCCCTGTATTTATCTTGCCATTAGTTAGCACGTTTTTTTCCCATGACATACTAAACATGATCGTGCAAAGTGCTCAAAATGTTCTAAATGGGCTCAAACACGGTTTACCGGACATCGTGTCCAGTATTCCAATGACCGCTGGGTGGGGGGGCCAGGGGCAGGAGAGTTCAAGGGTTAACGCACTTGCCATGGAGATCGTCAGCCTGGTTTGATCCCCAGCACTGCATATGTGGGGGCGTCAAGCCTGCAAGGCTGACACTCTACTACAGCCGCCCCATAATAAGTTAGTGGAAATCTCTAGATTTTGCTCAAGGCAGGTGCTCTGAGCAAAGGGACCTACGTTCCTGCAGCGGGAGGGCGACTGACACCTGCCATTTACTCAGCGCCCGCCCCAAAGTGCCCTCCGCGCGCGCGGGTCCGGAGTTTGACACCAGCGACCTCGGGATGCTCCCTACACCCCGCCCCCCTCCCCCAGGCACCAAATCCCAAATGCCACTGAAGCGTTTGGCCGCGCGGACGGAGGGCTGAGTACCCACCCCACCCCCCACTCGCGACCGCGCGCCACCCGCGTTCCAGACCGCCAGGCTCGGGGCTCGTCGCGGCGCCCCTACCGGCTCCGAGTCTGGGCTACCCGACGCCGGGCTGCACGCGGGGGGCCACCCGCTTCCAAGATGGCGGCCGTGGCGTCGGGGGCGTGGCCCCACGTGACCGCCCGCGACCAATGAGCTTCCGGCCTGCGCCGCCGGCCCGGCGCGGGAGGCGGAAGTGCCGCGGGCCGCCGCCTCCGTCCCGGCTGCTGCCCCCGCCGGTTACATAACTCGTTTCGGGCCCCGCGCGGCCCCTCTTCCCGGCTCCCGGCCGCCCCAGGATGCGCTGAGCTCCACGGCACCCTCCGCTGCCGCCGGCTCCCGCCCGAGGTGAGCCGCTCCGGGCCGGGACCTGCGCTGGGAGGCGGGAGCCGGCGCGGCCGGGGACGGGAACCGGAGACCGGGCCCGCAGGTCGTCGGCGCTAGGTTGTGCCGGGCCCCTGGTGCGGAAGTGCGGGGCGCCGAGCCCGGGGGGCTCCTGCGCGCCCCCTCGGCTCGGGGACCTGTGGCGCCGCTAGCCCCCTTGAGAATTCCGGAAAGCCGGGGCCCCCTCGCCTCTTCCTGGCGGTAAAGTTTCCGTCGCGTGTCCCCCGACCCTCACCCGCACCTGTCCCCCCCCGGGAGCCTGGGCCCGTCGCGTCCGGGGTCTGGAGTTTGACGCCGCCGCGGGCGTCGGTTTGGGCGCCCCCTTCCCCCGCCCCTCCCCCCGCCAAGTACCTGCGCGGCCGTCAGGTGACGGGCCGGGGCTGAGTCCTGACTCCGCCTCCCGGACGTGCCCGCCGGACACCCACTCGCCAGGGGCGCCCAGGGCGGTCCCCCGGATGTGGTGCGGGAGCTGTCCCCGCAGCCCCGAAACTGTGGCCCCGACGTCCGCCGGACTGTGGCCCCGCGCCCGGGTGTCTAGGCAGGAGCGCCGGGCCGCAGGTGGGTCGCCCGGCCCGTGGGGAGGAGCTCCACCGCCCACCCCGGTTCGATCCCCGGCGTCCTGCACGGCCCAGAAGCCCGGCGGCCACCGACCCGGATGAGGGGACATGGGCTTCGGGTGACCCCCGCCCCACCCCAGTGCCTGGGACTTGGTGGCCGGGCCGAGACAGGGGTGCGAGCGTGGGTTTCTGTGCAGACAGCGGAAGGCTGCGTCTGTCTATGCAGGCAAAACTGCGGGCGCTTCCGAACCGCGCGTGCCGCCCCCGGGCCTGCCCGGAGTAACTTGGGGTGCCTGTCACTCCCCCGTGGTGGCAGTCACACCCACCCTCGGGCTGAGCAACGGCCTTCCTGGGTGGTAGGTGGAGGGGTGACAGTCGGGGGTGGGGGTGCAGGCTGCTTAAGGGACACTGGCTGCTTCCCGGCGCTCTCCTAGGCTGGGCTCGCCAGGCCCCCCCCTCCCCCCTGGGGTGTGGGGGCACAGGCACTGGGGATCCCACCCGAGCCTGCCTGGCACGTGCTACAGGCCTCCTGCCCATCTTTCCAGCTGTGTCTTCTGAAGCCCGGAAGCTGTGTCTGGCAGTGCAGGGGATGCTCAGGTCTGTGTGCTCAAGTGACTTGGGGTGACTGGAAGGACGTCTGAACCCAGAGCGGGGCTGTGGGCAGGAAGTGGAGGGGAGGCTCAGACAGTGGTTGCACCTGTTCTTTTTTTTTTCTTTTTTTTTCCTTTTTGGGTCACACCCGCAATGCACAGGGGTTCCTCCTGGCTCTGCACTCAGGAGCCACCCCTGGCGGTGCTCAGGGGACCATATGGGATGCTGGGAGTCGAACCCGGGTCAGCTGCGTGCAAGGCAAACGCCCTACCCACTGTGCTATCTTCCAGCCCCTGCACCTGTTCTTGACAGACCCCCAATGCCCCACCGAGGCTGGCAGTGGGTGGAGGAGGAGACGGGCAGCGGTCCTCGTCTCTGCTCTGTCATTGGCCCCCAGATGCTGTGCCTAGGTGGAGGAATTTTAAAGTTTCCCTTTTTCTGCCTGAGTATTACTGCCACCCAATTCCCTGGGCAGCCGTGAACTCAGGCTCTGCAGGAAGGAAAGTCTTAAGTGCTGCCCAGACTTGCAGGAGTGTCCAGCCTTCCGTCACAGGGAAGCCCGGGAGAGCATGAAATGGTGAAGTAAAATAGTTTTATTTAAAGAAATTTACTTAGAGAAATGTGGTGGCAGGGGAGGGGGGGGAGGAGAGACGAGGAGAGTGTGTGTGTATGAAAGAGGAGAGGAGGAAGGAAGAGAGGGAGAGGGAGGGAGGAGGGAGAGGGAGGGAGGAGGGAGAGAGAGAGAGAGAGAGCTTCTGCAGTGGGAGAGTAAGCATACATATACAGGCTCATGTGGCCAGGGTGGGGACAAGCCTGGTGGAGACTTTTATATGCCGCCTCAAAATTTGGCGGAATGTCTGCCCATTTTTTTTCTTTTTTTTTTCTTTTCGGGTCACACCCAGCAATGCACAGGGGTTACTCCTGGCTCATGCACTCAGGAATTGCTCCTGGCGGTGCTCAGGGGTCCATATGGGATGCTGGGAATCGAACCTGTGTCTGCCCATTTTTACCTCTAGATCTTGAGCACCAGCTTTTGAATCCTGTGGTGTCAGGCTCCCAGGACACTTTGTGTCTAGCTAGACCAGTAGTAAACACCCAAGTCAGGTTGGAGAGGAAGAGGTTAAGGGACAGGTTCGAGAGAAAGCAGCGAACTTTCACCTCTAAGTGTCCACAGTAAGAAACCCTCCCAGCCCAGTTGAGGCTGGTTATGGTTATTAGAAATGCATCGGGGCCCCTCTTTTCTCTGTATTCTGGAAACGTGGCCCATTGGCTGCCACATACTGAACTTTGAGCCGTCTTGAAAATAACTGTGAGAAGAGAACACCTGATTTTACCCGACAGTCAGTGGGCGAGTGTCCCGGAGTACTGTGAGCAGCAGTGTCCTCCACTGTCTGTGGGGTAGGGGAAGCGCTTGGCCCTGGGGCACATCCTGGGGGACCTCTTTAGACTTGCTGCCTTTGGGAAGGTGACTGGTTCTCACCCCGCTTTGTATACTGCAGAATGTCTTGTGAGTCAGGTACTTGTTCTTTCTCCTCTTCGACTTGAATTACTTTGCTCGTCCAGTCACTCATTTTTAACTTTGTCATTGAAATATTCATGAAGAGATGCGAATGGTCATCGTGTGGCCAGATCTGTGCCCATCACAGCAGAAACCTGTTGGCCCCTGGCCTATTTCAAAATTAGTTTTCTGAGCAGGAGCATAATGTAGCAGATGGGACACTTGTCTTGCATGCAGTCGACCTGGGTTTGATTCCGGGAACCCTGGGTATGATCCCCTGAGCACCACTGGGAGTGGCCAAAAAAAAAATTAATTTTCATGGGCCAGAGAGATAGTACAGGGGTTAAGGCCCTTGCTTAGCCTGTGGCACCAACCCTCATCCTTGTCGGGCACCACTTAGTCCCCCAGCATTGCTGAATTACTTAGTCCCTGGCACTGCAGGGCACAGACTGTGCTGCAGCTTTGGGCCTTGCATAGAATCAGTGGTACAACATGAGGAAGTGACGTTAGCAATTTTGTTTTTTGTTTTCTGTTTCTGGGCCACACCTGGTGATACTCAGGGGTTTCTCCTGGCTCTGCACTCAAGAATTACTCCTGGCCATGCTCAGGGGATCATATGGGATGCCAGGGATCAAACCTGGATTGGCCATGTGCAAGGCAAACACCTTAACTACTGTGCTATCGCTCTGGCCCCGTTGTTAACAATTTTGAGTGATTAACATGCCTTTTCCTTAGGTTTAAGGCCTAAACTTAAATTTGTTCCTACGAGATTACAGGACACTCTCCCTACCCCTTACCATATCAAAAAAATGCTTTCACATTTATGTTTTTAACTAAATAACAGTAATATTTGAACCTTCTGATTTTATACAGTATCACACTAAATCAAGTATTGTTTTATTTAAAAAGAAAAAAAAAAAGAAACAGGCTGTTGCTGTTTTGTTTTTTGGTGAGTAGTGGGGCTCCAGCCCACCAGGGTCTCCTGCATGCAAGGCACGTACTCTTATCCACTGCCAAACCCCACGACCACCCGCTCCTGTTTCTAAAGAAAGGGAATACTATTTTAAGAATTTACAATGATCACTTCTCATTTACATCTGGTTATATGCTGGGTTTTGCTTCTTTTCTCTTCACTGAGACTAGTTAGAGCCACTTACAGCATTTGGAAGTATTTGTCATGCTGGCTCTTAGAATGATGAATTTATTTTAAGAATATGTTTAACAATTTGGGGACTGGAGTGACAGTATAGTGGATAGGGCACTTGCCTTGCGCATGGTCTACCTGGGTTCAATCCCCAGCATCCCACATGGTCCCCCAAGCATCACCAGGAATAATTTCATAGTGCAGAGCCAGGAATAACCCCTGAGCATTGCCAGGTGTGACCCAAAACCAAAAACCATGTTTTTCAAATGCAAGTAGAATTTTGCAATTTCCAAAAAGCTGCCTTTATTAACCATATAACTACTTGTTGACCTTTAGTTCTGTGCATATGGTTAAGCCCTTATAGAAATTAAATTTTATTTTAAAAGACTAACTTAAGGCAGGAGAGATAGTACAGCAGGTAGAGTGCTTTCTTTGCCTGTGGCTGGTTTGATCTTAGCATCCCCTGTGGTCCCCAAGCACCGCCGGGAGTAATTCCTGAGTCAGAGCCTAGAGGAACCCCCAGCACACTCACTGTGTGACCCAAAAACAACAGCAGCAAACAAACAAAAACAACCAAAAAGATGGAAAATTCTTGCCTGTAGCCGACCTGCCAACCCACTGCTGCCTCTGTTTCTGGTTTTCCTACAGGAGCGTGTCTCTAGGCTTCATATATTGTAACAATCTGGAACCTTCTTCCAGGACTTTTCTTAGACTAGTTGTCTTCAAGCTGACAGGTACTTTTCTTGTTTTGTTGTGTTTTGGTTTATGTTTTGGACCGTCAGGCGGTGCTCAGGACTTCCCCTGGCTTTGCACTTAGGGATCACTCCTGGTGGAACTCAGGGGACCCTATGGGGTGCTGGGGCAGCGCCCTACCCACTGTGCTATTGTTCCACCCCGTCAGCTTTCAAAATTGGTTTTAAGGGTTATACAGAAACACTTCAAAATATTTTTGCAAGTTTGTTGTCCTTGTACACACCCTCATCTTGCCTCATCTACTCTGGCCCTGATGTGGAGAGGGGCTATTTTGGGCAGGATAGGTAATCATTCTGTTTAGTATTTGATGAAACACTCTAAGGTGTCCAAGTTCAAACAGCCTATGAGCTTATTGTAATATAAAAATGTACTCAATTTCCACACACCCCTTGAAAGTCTTTTTCCCCTGGTAATAAAAACAACCCACGCTCACTGTAAAGCTGTCAATTATCTGAACAAGGGAGGTAGACCCAGGCAGTTGGTTCTAAAACCAAATGCTGGCTGGAGACTGAATAGCATTTTTCTCGGAGGGGGCGCTCCTGGCTGTGCTTGGGGGTCTACAAGGCTGTGCCTGCCAGTGCTGGGGGGCCATGCGGTGCAAGAATGAACCCAGAGCCTGGCCCTGAGCCATATCTCAAACCCTGAACTCCTTTTTTTTGAGGGGGGGGTCACACCCAGCGATGCTCCTGGCTCTGCACTCAGGAATTATTCATGGTGGTGTTTGGGGGACCATATAGGATGCTGGGAATCGAACCCTGGTCGGCCGCGTGCAAGGCAAACGCCCTACCCGCTATGCTATCGTTCTGGCCCCTGAACTCCTTTTAAAAACAGTTTCGCTTGTAAAAGTTAACCTTGTGATCAAGTGTTGATTTTGAGCAGATTTGACCTATTTTCATCTGTTCCACATCTGAGGTTGAAGGAGCTTAAATGCAGAGCCAGAGAGCCGCGGTCACACAAGCCTGAGCCGCGGAGGGGAGCGGACGGGAGGTGGGGAGGACAGACTCCAAGTTGAGGTTGCTGATGCAGAGACACCACTGGTGCCCGCATTTCCCGGGGTCGGGCAGAGGAAGAGCGGCTGTGAGGACCGGGCCGGGGACTTCAGTCCGTCTCAGGGAAGTTTGCAGGCGAGATTGAGCATAAGGGGGGAGGGTGCTGAGGCCAGTTTTGGGGTGGCACACAGAAAAGCCAGCAGGCAGGGACGTCCCTGGGAACCGCATTTGGCCTGGGGGACGGGGAGAGAGGACAGTCATGCGAGCTGCCTACAAGGCTGAGAGCATGTGAGGGAAAGACAGAAACAGGGAGACCCGGCATGGTGAGGGGGTGCTGCAGCGTGGAAAGGGGGACCTGAGCCTCAAGGGAGATGCTTTGGGTGGCCACTGGGCATAGACTCTGGATGTCCCCAGGAAGTTGGTCTGTTTCTGGCTTGCTGACTTTTGGGGTGAGGGGAGGCCTATTTTCCCCGGTGGTGGTGCCTGGGGGAATCTTTTGAGCCCCCAGATTCTGACTCTAAAGCACTTGGCAGTGGAAGGGAGCAGGGAAATGCCCTCGTGGAAGTTGGGGGGCCCTTCCTCATCTCACTTTCTCCCCCCACTATTTAAGCACTGTGGAGTACAAAGTTGTTCATGATGGTTTGTTCCAGGCATCTAATATTCCAGCACCAATCCCACCAGCACTGTGTTCACCATTGTCTCCATTTTCCCAGCCCCCCTAGAGCTTGCCCTCACCTCCCCATTTTAACTCGTGTCCATTGGCCAAGTGCACAGGAAATTGGGGTGCATGAGTGCCTGGGTAGCCAGAGATGACTCAGTGCACCCAAGGTCCACCTCCAAAGGCCAGAGAGCCCTGCAAGCCTGGGAACAGGGCAGAGCATTTCCTGCACCCCGAGACTCCCGAGACTTGGTACCTTTTCTTGGGGCTCTGTCCCAGTGTGTTCTAGGACCCTTGTCCCCTCAGCCCAGATATCGGGTCTTGGAGGAAGGTTCTGGTTAGGGTCCCTGTGCCGGAGGCTATCCCAGTCTTGGCTCCTTTTCAGGGGCTCACAGGCCTGGGAACAGTTTCTATCTGGGCCCGCCCTGCCTCCCTTCATAAACTGTTAGCTCTGGGTCTTCCTCTGGCCTGGGAAGTTCTCTGGCCACACATGTGTCACCTAGCCAGGGTGTGGCTGGCAATGGACAGCTCTCTGAGGACCTGTGAGAAGGACTCTTCTCTCCCTTTGCAATCCCAGTTGGCATTTTGTAGTTCCCACGCCAGACCCGTAACTTGCCCACGTGTAGGGTGTGACCCCTGCACGTCCAGAGCCATCTTGACCTCCTAAGGACCCCCTGTGCCCTCCAGGATCCCAGTTCTCACCTCAGCTTGGCTGGCCTGTTCTGGGCCATGTGCCTCTGGCCCACATCATTCTTTAGCAAGTTTCTATCCATGTCTGAGCCTTGCCTCGGTATTGCCATGTGATAAGATACCCCGGGCACGACTGGGGGTGTGCTGCAGAGAGAGGCTTCCCCTTGAAGTTCAGCCACTGATGGCCACTGGGAATTTTGGCCACAGAGCCCATGTCTGTCCATGGCCGCTGCCGGGTGGGCCAGGGACTAGGGAGGAACTGGTCAGAGGTTCCTGGTGGACCTGGGTCCCTCTGCGGGGAGGCAGAGGGCATTCGTGAGCCTGCCCCGTGCCGCCTGCCTGACGCCTCCCTCTGCAGGTGTGAATGACAGAGGTGGTGCCGTCCAGCGCCCTCAGCGAGGTCAGCCTGCGTCTGCTGTGCCATGATGACTTAGACACGGTGAAGCACCTGTGTGGAGACTGGTTCCCCATCGAGTGAGTGGGGCCCTGCGCCGGGCGGGAGCTCCCAATGCACTGTCCCCAGAGCACCCCACTTCCATGCCAGCCCCATGGCGGGCTCTGCGTGCAGCAACACGTGACGCCTGCATGGCTCCTGCAGTGGGAATGGGGCAGGGCAGGGGGGCCAGCAGACGCGCCCCGTCCCCCTCCCTTCACGGCAGATATGGGGACATGGCTGTGCAGCCACCGTCATTGTGTCTGGCTTCATCTGCCTCCATTGTGAACCTTGGACTTGGGAGAGGAGAGGAAGCAAACTGGGGGGCTTTGGGGCCGTGCAGGGCTAGAACATTCGAGGGGTGTGCTCTGCTGCTGAGCCACATGCTGAGCCCACGGCGTTTGGGTGTTAGAACACTTCAGCCAGCACTGGATTCTGCCACCTGTCCTCAGGCTGGCGGGGAACCCCCACCCCCACTGCCCACAGGCGCCTGAATAGTTGCAGTCTCTGGCCCCAGGCAGAGCCTCTGAGTCTCAGGTGCTGAGATGGCCGAAGGAACAGTTGTTCCTTGGTGCCACACCCACTGAGCACTTGCAGGGCTGCCACAGACAGGCCCCAGAGGAGTGTGGCAAAGCTCAGGCGCTGTGGAACCTTCCAGTGGTGGTCAGTGCCCTCCACAGATCAGCACGGGCTCAAGCACCTCCACCGTGCCCCCACCTCATGGTCACAGGAAGGGAGGCGTCCCTGTCCCGAACCCCGCCCCCTTGGCCCTCGCTGGGGCTGGCCATGCTCTCCCTGCCCTCGCAGTGCTCCTGCTCCCTTCTTGCCAGCAGCCCTGGCACGGTTGGCCCTTGAAGTCGTCCTCACCTCACTGCTGTCTGGGACGATATCGTCTACTCAGTGAGAGCCCTTTGAGGACTGGGTTCTCCCACACTGCTCTGCTGCCCCTAGCAGGGACAGTGGGGACAGTGGCCTCGGGTTTCCCCTCATCCTCATGAGTCTTCTCGTGGAAAAATTTGGGATTTTCCTCAGAAATCTTGGTCTTTCTGGAGAGAACTGCTCCCGACGGTGCTGTAGTGAGACTAACGGCTGGTTGGCCCAGAGCTGTGGACAGGTGGCGTGGCCTGTGGGTACCCCTCTGATGCGTGTCTTTGTCACACTCACCTTGGCGGGTCCACCTTTGCTTGTCCTCAGGTACCCAGATTCATGGTATCGGGACATCACCTCCAACAAGAAGTTCTTCTCCCTCGCTGCCACGTACCGGGGTGCCATCGTGGGAATGATAGTGGCTGAAATCAAGAATCGGACCAAGATACATAAAGAGGTATGTGTGTCTGCGCCTGGGCTTCGTGCTGAGAGGCCCCGCTGAGTCGGGGCACAGAACTGCCAGCCGCTAAGGAAATTGAGTTTCCATTAAATGTTAGTGACAGTAAAGACAAAATTTATTTCACTCACCTTGAGGGTCTGAGGACCCTGGTTTAGCAAGCTGAGGTCCTGTTTTTGGCTTTGGGGCCACAATAGGCTGTGCTCAGGACGTACTCCTGGCTCTGTGCTCAGGGATCCTTCCTTGCCAGCTTAGGGGACTCTGTAGGGTGCTGGGGATCAGACAAGTACCTTGCCCACTGTCCTGTCTCTCTGGCCCCCGAGCTGAGTTCTCAACCTCAGAGCTAAGGCTTTGTTCGGGAGGCTGACGTGGGCCGAGGTTCTTTCAAAGGATGACAATGGCTTTCTTCTCAGTGACCGGCACTGTTCACAATGTGAGTTTCCTCCCAGGTGGGGACACCCCAGCAGCCACTGGAAACCCTTCTCCGTGGGGCTTGGGGCAGTCGTTCACAGGGCAAGAAGCCTGCCCGCGCTGCTCTTCACGGGCTCCGGACAGTTGGTTTCCACGCTTTCCACCTGTTTTCTCTTGCCTTTTTCTGCTTTTCGGTGCTGGGTGAGAGCAGGAACACGCCAGCAGGGTGTCCAGTGCACTGCGACTCCTCTGGCCTTTCCTCTCACATAGGACCAGCCTACCACCCCGTCTAGAAAGGGCAGTGCAGGGAGGGGCTAGCATTGGGGACAGGTGGCCCCATGACCAAGACCCCTGGGCCATGACCTGGGATTGGAAAGGAAGCAGGGGGCGTACTGTTTGTGGCTAGCTTGAGTGGCCCAGAATGGCCCCTTTCCTTGCAAGTTGGGGGGTCCACCATTCGAGCCCCCCGCTACCTGGAGTCCCAGGCCGGTCAGAGTTCTCTCAGGAACTTTCGCCGCGGGCGTGCCTTCCAGGGTAATTTGACTCATGCTCTCACTTGGGCCTCTTTCCCAAAGGGGCCACCTGCTGTCTCCATGGTCCTAGGTGGGCGGGAGTGACACCCCATTTCCTGTACTGGCCCAGGACTATGATCCTTTTGCCTTTCCTTCAGGATGGAGATATTCTAGCCTCCAATTTCTCTGTGGACACCCAAGTTGCGTACATTCTCAGCCTGGGCGTGGTGAAGGAGTTCCGGAAGCATGGCATTGGTGAGGACACGCTAGCAGCCCCGCCCCGCAGCCCTGCATGCTCACTCCACTCCACGCCCACCCCCAGCAGCTCCCCACTCCCCCCAGCCAGCGAGTCCTTTGTGACCGGGCCCCCCGCTCTGTGTTCACGCCTCCACATTGCACTGAGACGTTCATGAGTCCAGCCCCTGGAGGGACTCTCGGGCCACATCAGTACCTGCTGACTGCCGCACAGTCCCCTCAGACTCGGGATTCGGGTGACCCCAGGAGGTTGGTGTGTGGTGTAGTGACAGAGAATGTGGTGGCACTTTCTGCCAAGTGGCTCCCCGGCCCGCCTCACACCTGGCTCCCCTTTCCCACGGCTCGGGCAGGTTCCCTGTTACTTGAGAGCCTGAAGGACCACATCTCCAGCACGGCCCAGGACCACTGCAAAGCCATCTACCTGCACGTGCTCACCACCAACAACACGGCGATCACCTTCTACGAGAACAGGGACTTCAAGCAGCACCACTACCTGCCCTACTACTACTCCATCCGGGGGGTGCTCAAGGATGGCTTCACCTATGTCCTCTACATCAACGGCGGCCACCCTCCCTGGACGATCTTATATCCTTCACTTCCTGGGACTTGATTGCCTTCCGCTGGTGTTCGTGCCGCCAGCTAGGCAGAGGTGTGGGTGGACCCGACTTTCACACGTGGCACGGAACGTCGCATGTACAGGCTGGTCACATATACAGGGCAGCGGGCAAGTTCTGGTGCTCCTTCAACTTCCAACCTCGGAGGAGGGGGAGGTAGTGGATTTTAACCCCGTTGGCATCTGATCTAACCCATCCACCCACCTACCCACCCAGCCAGCCACTTATCCTTCATCCACCCGTTCATCTCTCTAGCCTGCCCTCGATCTGTCTACCCACCCACCCATCCTTCCGCTCAGTGTCTATCTTCTTAACCATCTCCCCTCTCACCCTCCTCACCCCACCCCTCATTCACCCATCCAGGCATGCTAGGGAAGAGCCCCCAGTTCCGGTTGCAGGCAGACTGGAAGCCACTGCCTAGTATGCACCAGTGAGGAAAGAACAGCTCGGTCCTGCAACACTGGGGTTCACACTCCCTTGTGGAGTGTGACCCATTGCATTGCTCCCCTGGGTCCTCATGAACTCTCTGCCCTGGGCCATCTGCTTCCTAGCCCAGGAGAGGAGTATCCACAGTGAGCCCAGGACTGCTGTGTAGGGAAGCGCCCAGGAAGGAGAAGGGAAGCTATACTTGCAGGTCTGCTCGACTGATCAGTCTGAGGTCAGCACTCTGACTCCTCCTGTCACAGGGATGATGTGCCAGCACTCTGGGCCAGTCCGCCAAGAGGGAGGAACAGGCCTAGACGCAGCCTTTTTAGTGAAGCAAAATAGTTTGAGGGTTTTGTTTGGTGTTGGTTTGGGGGCCATACCTGGTGGTGCTCAGGATTTACTCCTGGCTCTGCCCTCAGGGATCACCTCTGATGGCACACAGGGAACCGTGTGGGGCCCCAGGGATCGGACCCAGGCTGGCTGTGTGCAAGGCGAACACCCTCCCCTCTGTACTCTCTCTCCGGCCCCAGCAGGGTAGTAGCAAGATGTGAGGGAAAGAGAGAACATGGGCTTCTCAGGGAGGAAATAGGCAAAGGAACATAGTGACAAGCAAGCCAGATGCATGTTCAGGGAGAGCACGGGCATGAAGAGCACGCGTCAGCTGTGTCCTTAACGGAGCCCCACAGACTATATCCAGCACCTGGGCTCAGCGCTGGCCAACCTGAGCCCCTGCTCCATCCCGCACCGGCTCTACCGGCAGGCGCACAGCCTGCTCTGCAGCTTCCTGCCATGGTCCAGCATCTCCTCCAAGGGTGGCCTCGAGTACAGCCGGACCATGTGAGGCCGGCTGGGCAGCCTCCGCGGGGCCCCACGCCTGCCTGCCCTGCCATCTGACACAGGCGTGGGTGGCCACCGGCCCAGTGTTCTCCGGGCCCGGGGGCAGCACATGGTGGGGTGCGCCCGGTCCCCAACAGGTACAGGAGGCGGGTGACAGGGAACCGGGGAGCTGCAGCCAGAGGGATGACGGGAGCGAGCAGTGGAGGCTCTGGTGATCCAGCAACCAAAGGGGCATCATGGCTACGGGCAGGCTCCCCGACCAGCTCACAGAAGCCCGGGATGGAGGCAGGGGCCTGGCCACAAGTTGCTTCTTTTCCTGAACTACTTTTTCCATTTGCTTGATTTAGTCCTAGAGCCAAACCTGAGGGCTATCAGCCCCTGGCTCAGTGCTCAGGTCAGAGGTGTCAGGGACTAACCCTGGGCCTCCCACACACAGCCTGTGTTCCTGCTCCTTAGGCCATCTACCCTGGTGCCTGAACTCCCAGGGTTCAGGAAGTCGAGACATCATGGTTGGGAGCCAGGGCAGGGCAGGGGGCAGGTCACTGGGCTCAGTGAGCCAGGGGGCCGGAAGTGTCATGAACTCCAGGGGGCACCCCCATGCTCAGATGTGCCTGTTCTTGGGGCGACGCAGGTAGGTGCCCCCAGCGGGGTGGTCATGAGAAAGGCCTACTTCAGGGGTGCTGCATGGGTGGGTCAATGAAGCCCCACTTGTGCAAGGCCTCACCCCTCCCCACTGTTTCTCACAGGCTCCTCGGCCCTCTGGGAACCGCCGCTGCCCAAGCCTTCTCGCCTCTGCGTGCACTGAGCCAAAGGGCAGGAGGGTTCTGCTCACCAGCCCTCCACTGCAGGGCCATCCCTTCCAACACCTTCCTCCCAGCACTTGCTGGGAATAAGTATCCTGGACACCAGTGACGCTGACAGCGCCTCAGAACCAGGGACCACATAGAGGACAGAGTGCGCAGACACCTGGTGGACCTGGTCGCTTGGGCTCAGCACCCGGACAAGGACAGGGGTCCTGCTTGCTGCCTAGTGCAACTCTGGTTGGGGGTCATGGCAGGTCCTGTGCCACAGAGCTGCCCCAGGAACCAGACTGAGAGGTGCCTCAGGGGGCACCCAGCTCCCCATGGAAATAGGAGGAAGCCTGGGAGCTGTTGGCCTCGGGCCGGGGACAGTCCTGCGCCTGTGTCCCTCCACTTCCAGAGACACATGAGAGGCGATGCACTCGCTCTTGCTCCCCTGTACCCCGCACCCCAACGGTTTGCTGTCTGCTGTCCTGGGTGGTGGGGGCCAGGGCTACAGTCCCGGGGTCACAGTTCTCACGCCAGACTGAGGGGCAGAGACAGGCACAGCTGGGCATCATGACAGAGTCCTTCCCTTGTCCCCACCTCCTGGCCACGCGTGAAGGTGAGCTGCCCTGGGCCCTGACCTCAGCTTCGTGTTGGGACCAGGCTGGTGGCTGCTAATCCCAATCAATGGTGATCATGTGATTTTTCTTCTACCCCAAGGGAAGTGTCTTCTAGAGGGTTCTGCCTTGGACATTGGTAATTGAGCTCACAGGCCTAGCCCTGCCCCGCTCCCTCATCCCTGCGCCCCACTCTGTCACTGTGCCCAGCCTAGAGTTGAATGGATCATAGCATCTGGTCTAACAAATAAACCCACATGAATCTACCCTGTGTTCGCAGCTGCGGCTGCGCAGCCTCGGGGCGCGGCTTCTGCTCGCTGCTTTGCTGCCCGGGAGGCCTCTGCAGCTGCCACGGTTTAGCCAAGTGACACCAGGACGCTGGCCTGGCCAAGGGGGCTCTGCAGGCAACTCAGCACAGTGGTCGGGTGGAGACCCTGGACTGGCACTGCTGCATCAAGGTGTGGTATCAGTGTGTCCTCAGCCACCCTGGGATTCGGTGGTGCCTGGGTCCCTTCACACAGCCTAGGAGCCAGGTCGGGGCCGGACACAGCAGCCTAGCCCAGCCTGGGCTGTTCCTGCCCTGGGCATCACCCAAGGGGCTTGTCAAGGGCTGGTGCCTGAGGCAGGACCTGTGACAGACCAGATCTGGTGAGGCCTTAGGGTCACACCATGGCCCCTAGCAGGGCCCGGGACGGATCAACTGGACCAGGGCAGGAGCATTCCAGGTGAAGAGAAGTGGGCCCACCCCGTGTTCAGAAGCAGCTGTGGGGGCAGCGCCCTGCCTTTAGCTCTGCAGAGGCCTGGCACACCAGAAAGGCTTCAGCCTGAGGCAGGGCTGTGTGGCTTTTGGCCCGCAGGAGCCTGAGGATAGAGCCAGCATGGGCGTGCCACCTTGGCTTTTATTGAGGTGGAGTCTGTGGGCTTCTGCTCCGGGGAGCCCCGCTCTGTGCTCAGTCTTGCCGCCACGTCCAAGTGGCCAATGGGGCTGCAAGGGCGAGCCCTGACCTGGTCTTCCCAAAGGGCTGCCTCTGCCTCCCCTGGAATCTTCTCGAGGTTGGCCCGCATGGCAACACAGGATCGGGCACCTCTGGTCGGCTCCCAGTGGGGCCGGACCTTCCTCTAAAGGCTTGTCCACCCTGGGCCTTCCTGTTCTCTCTGGTCGAGCTGGGAGACCCAGCCCTGGCACATGGCGCCTACGGCCTCTCCGGGGCCCCCGAGCGGGTTCTCTTGCACAAGGGACATGTGGACTCTTCTGAGGTCCCCCAGGACCGCTTGGGCCTGAGTCCTAAGCCTTCAGGGGGACTGGGCTGGGAGGGGACATCCTTGGCTTGGTCCATGCTGGAACTGGAAGCTGAGGAAAGAGGCGAGTTACTGAGGAGCCATGGACAGGCTGCACCCCATCCTGTGACACCCCCAGACGCACCCCAGATTCGCAATAGTGGAACGGGTGCAGTTACAGGGAGGGAAGAGGGCGCTTAAGTGGAAAGGACCCTCTCTAACCTGGACCCTTGTTTTACGGAGGGGGAAACCGAGACAGGAATTGCCCAAGGTCCCTCATGGACCTCAGAACTGGGCCAGGACCCAGGAAGGACCCTCTGAGGCCCTCAGCCAACCCTGCCCGGGCTTCTCACCTGGGTTCCCCAGGCTTTCCCCGGGCACTGGAGCTTCCAGAAGGGCTGAGTGGTGACTATTCCCTGGGCCCACAGCCACGGGTGGCTGGGCCAGAGGCCAGGCTGCAGCCTCGAGCTGTGGGAAGCCCCCCTCAGCCATGAGCCTGCCCAGCCAGTGGCTCTCGCACTGTCCCGCAGGCCGCACGGGGCCCGGCAGATAGAAAGCCAGGCCCCGGAGATGGCGCAGCCGGAAGTTCTTGGGTTTGCTTCCCTGGGCACTGGAGCACTGCTGCTGGGCCCCCAGCCCCCCCTCATAGATGTTGGGTGGCGTGTCAGGGTGGCTGGGGTGTCCTCGGGCCCAGCTCACTGCATCTGTGAAGGGGAAGCAGGAGGGGGGTTGGTGGACTTGACACAGCGGCCTGGAGAGCCTCTGAGTACTTGTCTGCCCAACAGGCCTCTCCTCTGCCTCCCCACCCTCCCATCTTCTCCGTCCTGGACTCCTCCTCTCCCAGCCAACAGGGAGTCTGGCACCCGAGCACTTCCTGCCAGCACCTGTGGTCAGGGCCACAACAGCCACACCCCTTCCTGAGCCCCCTTAGCTGTGACTTGGGGCCCACTGAGAGCAGGGACCCCTTCCTCTCCGCAGCCCGGCACCTTCTCTTATGCGCAGCTCAGAGAACGCACAGACCAAGGCGTCCATGGAGGGCCAGTGTGGTGGGGAGGAGCGGGTGGGCCTCTGCTGCTGGCCCCGCTCTGTCCGGGTGGCTCAGCCGGCTCCCGGCAACCGGCTCTGTGACGTCACAGGGGTCGCTTCCTCACCTGCTGGCCCTGTATTTGGGGAAGGATGATGCCAAGGCTGGGAGGAGAGAGCCCCCAGGAGAGGTCTCTGAGCCTGCCCCTGCTGCTCCCCATCTGTGAAATATGAAGGTTTGGGGTCCAGGCTTAGAGGGCCTAGGGTGGGTACATGCCAAGAACGTGGTTCTGGGTGACGTAAATCACTCGACTTTCGGGGTGTATGTCAGGCCTAAGGGGAAGAGCTGGAGATTGCAAGTTCTGTTAGTGGGACAGTAAAATGGTGCTACCATGTTTGCAAATGTTTTAAGTTAGATATTCAAGATTCTGCTCTGATGTAGGAGGCCCACGTTCAACTGCACGGTTGCCCAGCCTCTGGAGGGACTTGCCCAACACCAGCAGCCGAAGAGAAGCATTTCACCATTCATAGAGTATCAGTAGAGGAAAAAATTCCACACAAAATATTTCAGCTAACAAAATCAACAAAAGTTGATATAAGATCACATAAAAAATTTATTTCTGTATGTTATCAAAGAATAATGAAACATAAAATTGCCCAAGAAGTTGTGCAATCAATAGAACATTGCTAAAATCAAGGAAGACTTAATGTACCTGGGTTGAGGATGCTCTTGTTAAAAGTGTGATCTCCAATTTATTATAATCCTCATCAAAGCAGGATTTGGGTAGGATGTGGGTATTTGGGCAGAAATAACCAATGTTGAAAAAGTTTGAAGACATTTTATGATCTCAAGATTTACAACAAAAGTACTGTCACTTTAAAATGGCACAGAATTGACACAGAAAGACTGCATTCATCTGGGGAACATAAAGCAACAAAATGGGAGACTAACACCCAGGAGTGGCCGAGATTAGTACCAGGAATCTTGCTCCATGACTTGGAGGCCAGCCACACGTGCTAGGGGAAAAGGAAGCTCAGATAGAGAAGAGAGCACCAAATAAAGGGTGTTGGGAGGATCCTCCCAGGGTGGGAGAAGCATGCTGAAAGTAGACTATAAACCAAACATGATCGCCACTCAATGCCTCTCTTGCAAACCACAGGACCCAAAAGGAGAGAGAGAAAACAAGGGGGAATGCCCTGCCACAGAGGCAGAGTGGGATGGGGGGTATGGGGGGTGGGAGGGATGCTGGGACCCGTGGTGGTGGAGGATGGGCGCTGGTGGAGGGATGGGTACTTGATCATTGTATAACTGAAACCTAAGCACAAAAATTTGTAAGTCTATAACTTTACCTCATGGTGGTTCACTAATTAAAGAAAAAAAAAGGCACGGAATTGCCCCATGCCTTGACATCTAAGCCAGTGGAGTAGAATAGAGAGCTCTGAACCCCCTTGTAGAGGGTGGCTGTCATCTTCAAGAGTACCAGACTCTTCATAGGTGAATTGTCTTTCCCCAACACGAGGCAGAATCTACTACATAACCATCTGCTGAAGAATGAACTGCATCTCCATCTCCAGACGAAAAGGAACTCAGGACTAGAGCCATAGTACAGTGGGGAGGGCACTTGCCTTGCACGTGGCTGACCTGGGTTCGATCCCCAGCATCCCATATGGTCCCCTGAGCACATTAGGAGTGTTCCTGAGTAGATTCAGGTATGCCCAAATGCCAAAAATAACTCGAACACATCAAAGACCTAAGACAAAATTTTTTGAAGAAACTGAGCAAATCTTTATGATCTTGCAGCTAGCAGTGGACTCTTTGATGTCATTGGGAGCAAGAGTAATAAATTGAGTTTCATCAAAATAATTTTTTGTGCTACCAAAGAACCTATTAAGTGAAGGATAACCTACATAATTGAAAAATTCCTTACAAATTATGTGTCAGACGGGTCCAGTTTCTAGAATATACATATAAAGAGCTGTTACAACCCAGATTTAAAATGGAGAAAGCACTGGAATAGTTCCAAAATTCCACAAATGGCTACCAAGAAAATGGGAAGATGTTCATCATTAGTCATCAGGGGAAAACAAAAACAAAATGATGTGTTAATGATGATGTAAAGAAATTGGAATCTTTGTCAACTGCTGGTGGGGGTGTGAAATGATGTGGCCATTAGGAAAAAGTTAAGCAGAATTATCATATAACCCTGCAATTTCACTTTGAAGAATTTAGAACTGGTATTCAAACATGGACAGAAATGTTTACAGCGGCATTATTCATGTCACTGTCACTGTCCTCCTGCTCATCGATTTGCTTGAGCAGGCCCAGTAATGTCTCCATTGTGACACTTGTTACTGTGTTTGGCATATCGAATACGTCACGGGTAGCTTGCCAGGCTTTGCCGTGTGGGCAAGATACTCTCGGTAGCTTGCTGGGCTTTCCAAGAGGGGCGGAGGAGTCAAACCTGAGTTGGCTAGGTCAGCCGCGTGCAAGGCAAATGCCCTACCCGCTATGCTATCGCTTTATGTAGCAAAAAAAAAAAAAAAAAAAAAACCCAAAAACTTGGGACTAGAGAGACTGAGTCTATGCTTTGCATGAGGGAGGCCGGGGTTCATCTCCAGTACAGCATGTTCCTCTAGCACTGCTGGAAATAATCCCTGAGCACTGAGCCAGAAGTATTTCCTGGGGACGGCAAAGTATGACTCAAAAGAAAGATAAAAAAAAATGAATTACGTATTAACATGTGTTACCAAGTGAATAAACCTCAAAGATGTCAGTGAATGAAGTCCGTTGTAAGAGACCACATGTATGAGTACATTTCCAGGAAGTATCTGTAAAAGTCCACACCGGGCAGAAAGCAAGTTAGTGATTAACAGGAGCTGAGACGTGACTGCTTAATTAGCAGGATATTTCCTCCAGAGGCGATCGAAGGCCTTTGGCACTAAAAAGGCACTAGAGGCGATGGCTGAACGGTGCTGTGAATGAAGCGCTTAGGACACACTGAGGGTCCGGAGCCGTAGTGCACCCAAGAGGGCGCTTGCCTTGCTCGCAGCCTACCAGGGTTCAATGCCTGGCATCCCACGTGGTCCTCCCAGCACCGCGAATAATTCTGAGGGCAGAGCCACAAGTCAGCCCTGAGCACCACCAGGTGTGGCCCAAAATCCGGGGGTGGGAAACCACTGAATTCGCCTCGTCCTGCCCCACTAAGCCCGGTACAAGCGGGCCCTGCCTCCACACGCACCGCCCTACCAGAAGAGGTGGCTGTTGCCAGGCCAACCGCCGGACTCTGGGGACCCGACGGGTCTCTAGGCAGGAAGTGAGGCCCGAGCCGGGTGCGCGGGCGCACGTGCGTTCTAGTTTTCTTTCTCTTTGGGGCCACAGCGGGCGGTGCTCTGGGCTGACCGCTGGCTCTGCACTCGGGTATCACTCCTGGCGGTGCTCGGGGGCCCCCTACGGGATGCGGAAGATCGGACCCGGGTGGACCTCGAGCAAGGACAAGGCCCTCCCCGCTGCGCGGTCGCCCCGGCGCCCCTGTCCCCAGCACGTGCATCCGTGCAGTGGAGGCCACAGCGGGCAGGCCACGCCGCTGCTCGCACCCACGCGAGCCGGCGGCAGGTCAGGCGCGGAGGCGCGCACGCGGCCCGGCCCGGCGGAGACCAGTGCGCGTGCGCGCGCGCCCGGCCCGCGCCTCGGCGTTGTTTGGCCCTCGGCGCGCGCCGTCGCGGCCCCGCGCGTTGCCAGGGAGACCCGCGAGCGCTGCGGGGCTGGCCGAGACTCGGGGCCGCGGGAGCCCTGGCGCCATGTCTTTCCGCGACCTCCGCAGTAAGACGGCCCCGACCCCAGGCCCGCGGCTCCTTCCGACACTCGGGGCGCGTCTCGGCGGCGCCGGGGCCCCGGACGCGCCTCGCGGGCCGAGCGATTGAGGGCGGCCTACCCGGGGCACGTTCCGCGGCGCTCCGAGGCCGCCGGGGACGCCGCTCGCTCGCTGTCGGCCCTGACCCGCCTCTGAGGCGCGTCTCGCCGTCCGGGTCGCCCCCGGGCACGCGGCACCCGAGGCGGCGGCCCCGCGCCTCCGCCCGTCGGGGCTGGCCCCTGAGGCGCTGCTCCGGGCGCCCCGGGAACGCCAAGCCGCGTTTTCTAGGCGGCAGATGTTGCTTTGGGGGCGGGGCGGGGGGCCCGGGAGCTTCTCTGACAGTTCTTAGCCCACCCGGGACGTGGCGCTGCCGCGGGTCCCACATGCCCCAGGACGGCGTGGCGCGCGCGCTCGCTCGCTCGCGGGCTCTCTCGGCCTCTCCCGTTCTCTGTCTTTCCCTCCCTCTGCCCCTCTCTGCTCTTTCCGTCTCCCTCCCCCTCCCCATGTAATTTTTGTTCCGGTTTTTGCTTTATTGGGCGATGCACAGGGGTTCCTCCTGGCTCTGCACTCAGGAATGACTTCTGGCGATGCGCAGGGGACCCAGTGCGATGCTGGGAATCGAACCCGGGTTGGCCACGGGCAAGGCAAACTCACTCCCCGCTGTACTGTTGCTCCAGCCCACCTGATGTAATTAAAAAAAAAAAATACATATTTCATCTTTCTTTTCTTTTCCTTTCCGTAGAGAGTTGGTAACTGGTCCCCGAAATCGTCAGTGGGTTGGGGATTGCAAGGACTAGCAAAGCCTTAATGAGCAGTTGACGGACAAGGAACTAAATCGTTTTTCTCCTTGGACAGACTTTACGGAGATGATGAGAGCCTTGGGATATCCTCGACACATTTCTATGGAAAATTTTCGGACGCCGAACTTTGGGCTTGTCTCGGAAGTGCTGCTTTGGCTTGTAAGAAGGTTAGAATTGCCTTATTTTGTGGCCTAAGAGCCCGTGTTAGATTTTGTTCATTAGTCACATAAGCACAGGCTGCTAGAAGCCAGAGGGACAGTTGCAGGCGGAGGTTGATAGACTGCTGGAACCTGTTAACTGTTGGCATGTGCCACAGTTGTGGGAGCAGGGAGCCCTGCAGGAGGTGGCCCCTGGACTGCTGGCCCCACCCCCTTACTGCGTTTCTCAGCCAGGGCCAGATCACCCTATAGAAATCACAAAAATGGGGGCCAACTGATAGGACAGGGGAGCCACAGGAAGGAAACCAGATCCAAAAGGGACCCGGCTGGCAAACATTTGTGAAACACTGCTCTGATCATTTGCTGAAAGTGAGTCCTTGGGCCTGTGTGTGTGTGAGCACTGGCATGCCTCAGGGTTCACTGACTTTTTTTTTTCTTTTTGGGTCACACCCAGCGATGCACAGATGTTACTCCTGGCTCATGCACTCAGGAATTATTCCCGGCAGTGCTCTGGGAACCATATGGGATGTTGGGAATTGAACCCGGGTCGGCCACATGCAAGGCAAACGACCTACCCGCTGTGCTATTGCTCCAGCCCCCAAGGGTTAGCTGACTTTTAAGAACCGGAAAGTAAATATTTTAGGAATGCAGCCTAATATCTCTGTTGCATATTTTTCTTGTGTTTTAAATGTTCCTTGTATTTCTTTTCCTTAAATTTTTTTTAAACTTCCTAGTGGCTTTTAGGGGACACAGGGACCCCCCCCCTTGTAATACCTGGAAGACCATGGTATATGTGGTGCCAGGGATTTGGCTCAGCCACTGAAAGTGCCTTAACCCTTGTACTCTTTATTATTATTATTAGTAGTAGTAGTAGTAGTATTGTTTTGGGGCCATACCCAGCTATGCTCAGGGATCACTCCTGGTGAGCTTGAGAGAGCATCTGGGGTGCCAGCGATTGAATCTCGGTCACGTGCAAGGCAAGTGCCTTACCTGCCATACTGTCTTTCCAAGACACACACGTGCTGTTTTTAAGTAACCCTTTACAAACACACAGAGTATTTTTAAATAACCCTTTCCCTTTAAAAAATGTAAAAATATGTAAAAAGCCCTTTTAACTTGCTGACTGCACAAAGGCCAAGGACTGTGGGATGCTGACCCCTGGTGGTCATCAGTAGCACTGTAGCACTGTCCTCCCGTTTGTTCATCAGTTTGCTCAGGTGGGCCTAGTAACATCTCCATTGTGAGACTTGTTGTTACTGTGTTTGGCATATCGAATACATCACCGGTAGCTTGCCAGGCTTTGCTGTTCGGGTGAGATACTTTCGGTAGCTTGCTGGGCTCTCCAAGAGGGGCAGAGGAATCGAACCTGGGCCAACCGGGTCAGCCATGTGCAAGGCAAACGCCTTATCGACTGTGCTATTTCTCAGTACTGTCTGGGTCGAGGGCTTACCGCCACTGAGCCCCCTAAGCCCCCTGCATGCCACATGCCCTCCAGCCCACAGCGCTCTCTTTCCTGGATGCTTAGATTCTGTGGGATGTGTAAAGTCCTTCCTAATCCACTGCCTTAGCTGGGACTTGAGCAAGATGGGATGGATCCCCTGTTCTCTCGGTTGTTGCCTTCTTGCTGGGCTTGGATGTGGTCATCATGTCTTCTCTCTCCATGACAGGTATGAACCACAAACTGATATCCCTTCTGATGTTGAGACGGAACAAGACCGAGTTTTCTTCATTAAGGCAATTGCTCAGTTTATGGTTAGTTCATGGCTATTTAACGGGAGTTGTAAAGTTGAACGAGTTAGCAAGACTGAGTCCTAATTAACTTTATGTTGACAGGTTAGGTTTGCATTCTAAACCTGTTCCACCACCGGGTTCCTCATATTACAAGTGAACCATTTTATCAGCAAAGCTTTTTTTAGTGGGGAGGTGGCACACTCTTGGCTCTGTTCAGGGGCCAGTCCTGGAAGTGCTCAGGGGACCATATGTGACTGCGGATCAAACCAGGGTTAGTGGCAAGTGCCTTAACCCCAGTACTGTCTCTCTGGCCCCGCTAAAACTTATTTCTAAAACGTTATTTGTTAATAATTTTATTTACTTATTTAAAATTGGTAGTATATTTTATGATTCAAAACTTTTGGGCAGCCACAGCAGGGCGGGTGTTTGCCCTTCATGCGACTGACCGAGGTTTGATCCCCCAGCATCCCATATGCTCACCCAATCACCTTCAGGAGTAATGCCTGAATGCAGAGCCAGGATTAATCCTCGAGAATTGCTGGATGTGACCTAAAAAGCAAAAAGTAAACTTTTGAAGGGGGCAAGCCCACAGCCCCATCTGTACCTAGGCCTTTTTTTGACTCTGTTCGGAATTCTCTCTTAAAGATACTTACAGGATCGGGCATACCCGTAGACCTTGCCTGACTCTGCTCGTGGACAGGCAAGGGGGACAGTGTATGCAAGAGTAATTTGGAGTTCGTGCCAGCTCCAGTCAGCTTCGGGGATGGCTGACGAAACTGCAGTACTCCTACATGGAAAAAAAAAAAAGATACTTACAGGATCATATGTTGTTGGGGATTGAACTCAGGACAGCTACATGCAAGGCAAGCACCTTAAACCCTGTTCTATCTCTCTGGCTTCTCAAAATACTTTTTTTTTTGTTTAATTTTTAATAGTGAGACATCATGAGATACAGTTACAGACTTATACATTTTTGTGCTTGGGTTTCAATTATACAATGATCAAATACCCATCTCTCCACCAGTGCCCATTTCCCACCACCACGGATCCCAGTATCAAAATACTTTTTTAAGGGACTGGTGAGAAAGTACAGTGGGTAGGGTGCTTGCCTTGCATGCAGCTGTCCTAGTTCTGTCCCTTGCAGCCTTGTCCCCGACCCCTGCCAGGAGTAATCCCTGAACACATCTGGGTGTGGCCCAGAAAAAAATAAGAGCATGGAGGAGGGTATGATGGGCATGCAGAGGGTCAAGGGTTGATCCCCCAAGTATTGTCAGGCATGGCTCAAATTTAAGTTTAAGAATCACTTAATCACTTAATCCCCGTTATTCATCGATCTATTCGAGCGGGTGCCAGTAACGTCTCCATTCATCCCGGTTGCGTGCTAGCGTAGCCTAATGGTATCTGTTCGTTCTAGGAACATGCAGAGCCTCAAACCGATCATTTAGGGTCTTGACGAAGAAGTCTGACCATCTTATAGGTGGGCGTCCACGTGATCTTTTGATGTCCCGTGGAATCCAATCAGTAATGGCTCTAGTCCAGCAGTTGTCTGTAAACCTCATTACGTGTCCAGCCCATCTGATTTTCGATGTCTTGGCAGATGAGACAGCGTCCCTGATTCTTGAGCGTTGACGAAGATCAGAACTCTGGATTCTATCTCTCATTTGAGTGAATCGTGATATTCCAAGCATAGTTCTTTCGATTCCTCTTTGAGAGACCCGAATAGCGTTCTCATCCCGTTTTCATAGGGTCCAGGTCTCTGAGGCATATGTTAATGCAGGAAGAATAGTGGAATCAAAGAGATGTGCTCGTAGCTGGAGGTTCTTTGTCCTTTTAGTTATTTCTTCAATGCTCTTGAAGGCATTCCAAGCCACTCTCTTCCTCCTGCGCAACTCAGGTGCCAGGTCATTCATCATGTTGATTTCTCGACCTAGGTATATATAACTGTTGCATTCGGAGATGGTGGTTCCGTTGAGAGTGAATGGAGCGTCAGGAACAAGGCTGTTTCTCATAAACATTGTCTTCGTAAGATTCAGCTGTAGTCCGACCTTTCCACATTCACGGTCAAAGTCGTTCAGCATTTGCTGATGTTTGGTGTTATTAGAACGATGTCATCAGCAAAGCGGAGGTGGTGTAGTTGCCGACCATCTATCTTCACTCCCATGTTTTCCCATTCCAGTCGTCGCATGATGTTCTCGAGGGTGGCACTGAAGAGAAGTTTAAGAAAAACTCTCAAAACATTTAAGGGAACAAATCTTTATCTAATAACTCTGATTTCAAGAATTAAATTTGAAGCTCCGCATTCAAAATTAAATCTACATTGGATCTCAAAGTTCAGTTAAAATAATTAAAATAATTAATCTAGTGGACAGCCCTTGACCCAGAGCTGACAGTACTGAGAAATAGCAAAGTAACCTGTCATTTTGGTGTCTGAATCACTTGAAAAATACTTCAAAGTTTGATTTGTTGTTGGAGGGTGGAAGGTGTTTGAGTCCACAATGGCAATGTTTGGTGGCTGGTCTTGGAATAGTGTTCCAGGGAACATTTGGTGCTAGGTAACGAACCAAGGGCTCCTACATGCAAGGGATACACTCCAGGTCTTAAGCATCTCCTCAGCCTGAAAGTTTGTAAGTTGTTTTGTTTGGGGGCCATACTCGGCAATGCTCAGGGGTTACTCCTGGCTCTGCACTCAGGAATTACTCCTAGTGATGCTTGGTGGGGGGACCATATGGGATGCTGGAGATCGAACCCAGGTGGGCCATGTACAAAGTAAACACTCTATCCGCAGGGCTATTGCTCTGGTCCCACAATTTGAAAGTTTGGTTCTTCATATGATCAGGTTATATTCCAACTGTCAGCAGAGGCATTTTAAAATTATCTACGTGGTTTAGATTAGACATGTGGAGGGCTTTAAAAATATATAAATGTATTTTTGTTTCGGAAACAGGCCACCAAGGCACATATCAAACTCAATACTAAGAAACTTTATCAAGCTGATGGCTATGCAGTGAAAGAGCTTCTGAAAGTCACCTCTGTCCTTTACAACGCCATGAAGAGCAAAGGGGTGCAGGGCTCTGAACTAGAAGAAGAAGACGTCAGCAAATTCAAGTTTGATCTGGGCTCAAAGGTAAGGACAAGCGAAGGCTTGTGCTGGCAGACAGAAAGTTGCTTTCTTTTTGGGCCACATCCAGTTGTGCTCAGGGTTTATTCCTGGCTTTGGCTCAGGGATCACTCCTGGCGAAGCTCGAGGGACTGTATGTGGGGCCAGGGATCAAACTTGGTTCGGCCTTGTACAAGGCAGAGCTCCGTTCCAGCCCCAGACGTTTTCTCTGACGGCTGTGAAATGGAACGTGTCGGGTATGGTCTCTGTTGGTGCTTGACTGAGGCCAGTCCTTTGGAGTTCCTCTGCAGTTGGATGCTGCCCAGTTGAGGGTCTTTACTAGAAGCAGGCTCTTCTCCAGGAGCCTTCATTTGGCTCTTCTAGGCCCAGATGTGACCTGCAAGGCAGAGCTTCTGCTTCTATGCTCCTTTTGGGGAAATTGACTGTAAACCAACAGGCTCTTTGGTCAGTTGTGGACGTGGTGCAAGCAGGAGGGAAGGAGCAAGTGATCCCTGTGAGGAAAAGGCAGGGACTGTGTGGCGAGAACTGGGGTGGGCTGCAGGGACCTGGGGGTAGGGGTGTGGGGCACGGACGTAAAGCATTTATGCAGACCAAGATTTGACTCGAAATGGGATGTTTTGAGCAGGGTGGGGCTTGAGTTGGTTCTTACTGCTGGGTTGGAATCAGACCATAGGAGGCGGCAGAGTGCGGTGAGAAGGCAGCGGCTGGCATGGATGGTCTGCCTGCTGGTCTGTCAGTCTGATTGAGGCGCCGGCGGAAGCAACACACTAAACTCAAGTCTTTGGTCACTTGGACCAGACGCGGCCTGCTCTGCATCACCATAGAATAGCTGAGCCTGTGCTCTTCTCACTGGTGATGGAGCCCAGAACAAAAGCTCCTGTGGGTTTCTGCATCCTGCAGTGAGGGTGTGAGGAGTGGATAGATGGCCAGTGCTGAGTCAGGGGAGAAGAGCCTGTCTACAGAAGGCCACAGCATAGGGCCCCGGGCCTCAGGAACTGACCTAGGGTGAGATCAGGTCAGAGGACCGGCCAGAGGGCCTGTTGCATCAGAAACTGCAGGGCTGGTGAGGTAGTATTCCGCACACGGCCTTCGGGTCAGCCATGCCTTTGTGATCACTTGTGGTCAGTCTGAAAAATCCCACATTTAAATTGAGAGCTGAACTCTGAGTGGGAGGAAGTGGTTAGAGGTTAGAATGTATTTGGGACGTGGGCTGAGAGAGCTGGGCTGGTGCAGGGAAGACCCGCCAGCAGCTCTGTCCTGCAGCTGAGCTCTAAAGAGGGGCTGCTGTGCCCTGAGGCTCCACCATTTGGGACCCTGGCCACAAGGGACTAGCACCGCCAGGGACAGCTGTTCCCGTTACTGAGTTAAGAACAACCTACTATGGAGCATGCAGTGGATGCTGCATTAGATGGCACTGCGCCTCAGTTTTTGCTGAGCCTGAGGGATGATGTAGTTGCCGGTCACTGAAACAGAGAATGTGAGAGAAGCAGATTTGGTGGAAGCAAGAAGTTGTTGGCTTTGGGTTGTGGTAAATCTCGGACGTTGCAGGCACAGGTCTGGATCTCGGGGTGGGGTAGGTCGCTCCAGGCTTAGTTACATGGAGCAAAGCCTTGAGGCTAGAAGGGAGTGTATGAAAGGGAGGGCCACACATGTGTGTGCGCTGTGCCTGCTCAGTGCTGAGGAGCGGGTGGCGGGTGCTTGGCGAGCTTGCCGCCAGACACAGGAGAGGCTCGGCTGGGGGGGCTTGCACGCCACGCAGCCATCCAGCTGGGAGGGGGGGGAGCTACCGCCGTTGGCTCGAAACTAAGAGAAGAGCTAGTTGCTAGGGGATCAGGAGAGCGAGTGGGCAGACACGTTTGGGCTCTTGGGGCACATTCAAAGAGTGGGGCTGGTGTATGGGACATGAAAAGCCCGTGGCCAGCGCTAGATGCCGGAGCCGTCATCCTTGTCCGAGTAACAGCTGCCAGCCCGTGAGGGTCTGCCCTCCTGCACCTCCTGCGTCAGATGACGGTTGGGGAGGCTTGGGTTTCCAGAGACACCCCGGTGTTCTGGAATTGGTCTCGTTTGTGATTGGATCAAACTTCCCACCACTTGGCCCTTCTGCAGGGCGTCAGTGTGTGTCCTGGGGGAAACATTCTTAGGATCATCTGTCCTGCGCGGAGTAGGAATTGATAATAACTTCTTGTTGAAACTGTCCTGAATATCTTTTCAAAGCCTGTCACCAAGACCCAGGGCAGGTAGCTCTGCTTCTCATTCTTGAGGCCTGGGGTGTGGTTCCTAGCAAATGGTCCTGCCCCCCTTCCCCCCCCCCCCCAGATAAGTAAAACCTTTCATTGATATTTCTGGTTTTGATGTTTTTCCTTTCAGATTGCAGATTTGAAAGCAGCTCGGCAGCTGGCTTCTGAAATCACGTCGAAAGGAGCCTCTCTGTACGACCTCCTGGGCAAGGAGGTTGAGCTGAGGGTGAGCAGGATGCAGCCGGTGTCTCCTCAGCCGAGAGAGCGATGGGGGCTGCCATTCTGCTCTGCCAGGCACGGATCTGATTTCAGTATCTTTGGCTCTGGTTCAGGAGTGGCATACCTGGGTCTGCCTGCAACTTTCCTCCTTTGTGCCTATGGCTGACTTGCTCTTGTTTTCCTGGTAACTCCACCCCAGCATTCCTAAAAGAATGTTCTTCTGAGCTCAGGTTCCCAGATCTCCGTCAAAAGCCTGGCACGGAGGCCCAGGGCATGTTTGAGTGCCCTGTGGGATCCCCCGTGGTTGTTTTGAATGAATGATGCCTGACTTCATTCTGTGTCACTTGTGTGGGATGTGGACTGGCTGTTTAAGTATCAGTGTAGGGAAGTCTTACTGCACAGCACAGCCTGGGAACCACTCATCTGAGCAGCTCCTAGCAAGCAGGTGAAGCTTCGGTCACAGTTGAAAGGGATTATAATTTATATTCTTTTCCCAGACATTTTTTTCCAAGAGGCTGAGGGGATTTGGGCCACATCTGATGTTGCTTGGGGCTCTTTCTGACTTTGCTTGTGACCCCTTGCAGTGCTTGGGAAACCATATGTACTGTCAGGGACCAAACTGGGATTGGCAACATGCAAAGCAAGCACCGTATCCTTTTTACTATCTCTCCTGCCCATAGGTTCTCAAACTTACTTGGCCTGTTGCTTCCTTTTTAGAAAAAAATCACTTACTACCTCCATGGAAATAGACGTTTTGGGTTTTTGTTTGTTTGTTTGTTTGCTTTTTGGGTCACATCCAGCAATGCTCAGGGCTTACTCCTGGCTGTGCACTCAGGAATTACTCCTGGAGGTGCTCAAGGGGCCATATGGGATGTCAGGGATAGAACCCAGGTCGTCTGCATGCCAGGCAAATGCCCTGCCTGCTGTACTATTGTTCTGTCCACAGAAATATATTGTTTTTAAGCAAATAGAAAGTACCACCCACCCCTCATCGCCCCTATTTGCACCTGAACTATCCTCTTGGATGACTGTAGCCCTCCTCAGGGCTGGGGTGGAATGGCCCACCTGGGAGACACTGCTCCAGAAAGTCTCATGGAGGAACGTGTGTGCCAACTGATGAAGGGCTGTCTGGGAATCCCTGAAATGTGTCTCCAGCTCCAGATGAGTTTTGAGGTCTACCAATGTCTGAGTCTTCTGCCATAGTGGCTCAGAATTTCAAGGCATCGTTGTGAAACTTCACCTGGATGTCCTCGGAACACCTTTAGCGCTGTCCTGTAACGACCCTGACCGGTGTTTCAAGCATTGCACAGTTGCGAGCTGAGGAGGACCTGCAGCCACTTTTTCATTCATTATACAAACATTCATCCACACCACCACCAGCCACAGGCCCGTTTCCATGCCGAGGGTCCTTGAATAAGTTATAATCCGCGCTCTTAAGAGTTTGCCTCTAGTGCTCAGGAGAGAGGCCTTGTGGAACAAAGGAAGACAAGACAAAGCCCGAGGAAATGCTCTAGGAACCTCCTAACTCCCTGCACAATAAAGTCCCAGAAGTTTCCAGTACTAACATGACAGGCACATGCACCCCTTTGATGGGTTGAATGGGAAAACTGGAAGGGACGGTGACTTGTCATCAGTAGCTGCCACCGATAGCAACTGGGAGGGATTTGACCATAAGAAAGACTGTAGAGGGGCTGGAGCAATAGCACAGCAGGTAGAGCATTTGCCTTGCACATGGCCGACCCGGGTTCGATTCCCAGCATCCCATATTGTCCCCCCGAGCACCGCCAGGAGTAATTCCTGAGTGTATGAGCCAGGAGTAATCCCTGTACATCACTGGGTGTGATGCAAAAAAAAAAAAGGCTATAGGGCCAGGGCATTAATACAGGAGGTCAGCCACTTGCCTCGCATGTGACAGACTCTGGTTCATATGGCCCCTGGAGTACCATCAGGAGTCACTTCTGAGCTGAGCACAGAAAAAGGAGTAGTCACTGGGTACACCAAAACCCCCCAGCAAGAAAAACAAAAAAATTTGTGGCACCTGGGAGGCATTGCAGACAGCAAGTTGTGCTGCATTCTGTTGGGGTCCCCTGAGCAGCAGACAGGGAGAGAAGCAAATTTGGGAGAAAAGACAATGGCTGGCAGGTTCAGTTTGACCTATGTTGGGGCTGTGAGGCTTGTAGCCAGGCGTGAGGGCTTGGCTGGGAAGGAGCCAGATGCAGCAGGATGCAGGGGACTATGGAAGGGTGTCTGCTTCGAAGAGCCACATTGTTGTGAAATTTTATTTTATGTAATTTTTTTTTTTTTTTTGCTTTTTGGGTCATACCCGGCGGTGCTCAGGGGTTACTCCTGGCTCTGCACTCAAGAATTACCCCTGGTGGTGCTCAGGGGACCATATGGGATGCTGGGAATCGAACCCGGGTTGACTGCGTGCAAGGCAAACGCCCTACCTGCTGTGCTATTGCTCCAGCCCCTTTATGTAATTTTTTTGGTTTGGTATTGCTTCTGTATTTTGGGGCCACACTGGTGATGCTCATGGTTTACTCTTGGCTCTGCACTCAGAGATCACTCCTGGCAGTGCTTGGGGGACCAGAAGGGGTACTGGGGATTGACTCTGAGTTGACCGTGTGCAAGGCAAGCTCCCTATCCTCCCTACTATTTCTGGCCACCCGATGAAACTTATTTTTTATGTTTTTTAGCCACACCCAGTGTGCTCAGGACCTACTTTTGGTTCTTTGGTCAGGGATCATTTCTAGCTTGAAACTTTTGAGAACCAGTCTTTGAGCTATATTTAGATCCAGAAATTGATTTTGTAAAGGCTTTCTGAGAATGTAACTTGATTCCATTGTTTCCCATAGGAATTGAGAACAGAAGCAATCGCTAGACCTCTAGAAATAAACGAGACTGAAAAAGTGATGAGAATTGCAATCAAAGATATTTTGGTAAGATTTCTTTGCTTTTAATGTTCTTATGCCTGGAACTCAAATATCTAGGAACTGATAAACTTAGTAGCAAAGAAGAGAAATATTAGTAGATTTGTTCACTGGTACCATAAAACAAAACCAAACAAAGCAAAACAGAATTTTAAAAATGCACTAACTGGGGTTCAGAGGGACAGTACAGTAGGTAATCCACTTGCCTTGCATGCGGGTAATCCTGGTTTGATCCCTGACACCTCGTAGAGTCCCCTGAGCACTGCCAGGTGTGACCCACAAACACAAAAGTACTGGCTCACTACTGCCCTACTCCCTTTTCTGGTAACCAAGAAACATTTGTTTTATATGTCAGGTAAATCCACTAGGTTTTTGTTCATTTTTTTTTGTTTGTTTGCATGATCATACCTAGTGATGTATTTCCAGTGTCAGCCCTGCTCTCCTATGTGCAAAACATGTATCCCAGCCCTTTGAGCTCTCCCAGGCCCCAAATCTAGTAGCTTTAAAGCCCACTCTAATTGAGAGGAACAGTTACCATTTGAGCTGTTTGTTCTGAAAGGAAACAACTTACCTTCCTGTGAGTGTGAACCACATCTCTGTCTGGGGTTTTAAAGCATTGCAGCAAAAGAATGCTTAGTCGTGTGGTGGTGATCTGTTTTGGGGCACACTCAGGTACTTGGGGGTTGCTCCTGGTGTGCTCGGGGTCTTTACCTGGATCTTCTGCATGCAAAGCTTGTGCTCTAAAAGTGGTATGATTATTTTTACAAAAGCCTTTTGGAAATGGTTATTTACAGCATTCGTACATAAGAAGGGTGTACTTAGATAAAAATGAAACTCTCCTAGCTGAGAAGTATTCCATTGTGTATGTATACCATAGTTTCTTTAGCTAGTCTTCTGTTCTTGGACATTTGGGTGGTTTCCAGATTTTGGTTATTATGAACAGTGCTTCAGTGAACATAGGAGCACAAATATTCTTTTTCTGAGTAGAGATTTTGGGTGCTTGGGGTAGATGCCCAGAAAGGCAACATGCTGAGTGGAACTCAGCCAGAAGGAGAGAGACATATACGGAATGATCTCTCACACTTGGAATATTAAATCCCTTAGCTTGGGAGTCACAAATGGCCCAACGTAACAGATCTAAGAACTGGTGCTCAGAACAGCACTTACCAGGGCAGTGAGGTGGCTTGGGGTATGTGTGGGGATAGGTTGAAGGGGAAATAGACAATGGTGGACAGACACTGGTGGCAGGTCTGGTGTTGAAGTGTATTGTGCACGAAACCCAACTGTTCACAGTATTATACAACTACAAGTTGTGGTGGCTAAAATAAAAAATACAAAATTAAGGCCCACATTCATTGTCAACAGAGGTGGTTGCTTCCAAATGCACACTATCTCAGTCAGCATTGCGAGCCCTCTAGGGGGGACTCTGTAGCCCCCTCAGCCTGCCGCGACCTGCAGGCAAGGGTCAGCAACTTTCTGGAATGGCTGGAGGTTGCTGGCAGGTGCGGGGTGCGGGGAGATGGGAGGCTTGTGGTTTCCATCCCAGCCTTCCCGACCCCTCCCCTCCCCATGCCTCCTCTGCCCCTGGCCTGAGGGACAGGCCTGCTGCTGCCAGACTCGTCCGAGGGCTGCTTTCTACACTAGTCCAACTGCTGCGTCACTTGCGCTGCCTTCACTTGTGGTTTTTCTGCTTGTTTTAGTTTAATAATGGCTCAGGTGCCAGGGAGAGGAGAGAGGCCATGAAGTTGGTCTGGGGTTAGTTGCTGCTTTCCTTAATCCCCCTAATAAGCAACCTGTTGCGTGTGTTGAGACTGTCAGATCCTTGTTTGTGAGTAGGAGGCAGCCCAGACTTGGAGGCTGAGCCTTGCTCCGCCCTGTGGGGAACACCGTGCTCCCCTGTAATGTTTCCCTACAGGGAGATGTCCTCCTCTGAGGAAACAGAAACTAGGGTAGTTTGCCGTTCCTTCTGGAGCAAGTTACGAGAGTGATGACGGGGCGCGGGAGGTGCTTTGCTATCAGGCTTTGGTTCTTGTGTGGTTGCTGCATGGGGCGTTGACAGGTTCTACTCCTGCCAGAGTCAGCACATGATCTTGTCCCATTCCCTCTGAAATGTAGGCACAGGTGCAGAAGACAAAAGACCTGCTCAATAACGTGGCCTCGGATGAAGCTAACCTAGAAGCCAAAATTGAAAAGAGAAAATTAGAACTAGAGAGAAATCGGAAGCGGCTCCAGACACTACAGAGCGTCAGGTAGGCGTGGATCAGAGTCTGGGCAAGAGTCTGCATGTGGACGCTGCCAGGAGACCTTGGAGGACTCTTTCCTCCTTCCTTCCTCTGCCTTCTTCACTTCCTTCCTCCCCACCCCCTTTCTTTCATCCTTCCCTTCTTCCCTCTCCCTTCCTACCTGCCTGGAAAGCACAAAACTTAACCCTGTACTGTCTCTCTAGATCTGTCTGTATTTGAGTTAGAAAAAGATTACAAAGTTTCATTTAAAATTATTTAAATAAAGCTTGTTAAAAATTCTTCCCTTAGGGCTGGAGAAATAGCCCAGGGGTTAAGATGCTAGCCTTGATTGAATCTGTGCACTGCAGATAGTCTCAGGAGCACCTGTAGGAAAAAACCTGAGCACTGCAGGTGTGCCCCCAAAACAAAGCGAAGGAAATACCTTCCTTGAGCCGGAAATGCGACTGAGTGCTCGGGCACTTGCCTTACATGTGTGCGATGCCAGGTGTGATCCCCAGCACCATATGGTACCCAGAGCACCACCAGGAACAAGCAGGCACTGCCAGGTGTGGCCCCCAAACCAAAGCAGAAAAAGCATTTATTTATTTAGGCATGGAAAAGCATGGACGTCTGTCAGATATTAAGTGCCTGAACCTGATAGTATTATGAATAATTTTTGCTTATGAAATACTTTCAGGATTATTTCCATTTTTTCCAAAGAGTACATCTTTTTTTTATTAAAAGTATGTTTACTTGTGCAGGGAGGAAGAGACCAGGAAAAGTTACTTTTAATTAGTTAAAGAGTAAGGCTCTTTCCACTTTGTGACTCTCTGAAGCAATTCCTGATGGAATCTAGACCTTAGAGTGCCATGTTGACACTATGTATCAATGAAATGCTCAGGACTTACTCCTGGCAGTGCTCAGGGGACCATTTTGTATGCAGCTGGCTTCATGCAAGGGGAGTGCCCTACGCACTGTGCTATCTCTCCACCCCTGATTTGGTTGTTCTAGGCCAGCCTTTATGGATGAATATGAGAAGATTGAGGAGGAATTGCAGAAACAGTATGACATTTATCTGGAGAAGTTTCGCAATTTGACTTACCTGGAACAGCAGCTTGAGGATCATCACAGGCTGGAGCAGGAGAGGTTTGAGGTGCGCCCGCTGCTCTGCTGACCTTGCCTGTGTGTGCAGGGACTGTTTGCACTCTAATCTCGTCCCTTCAGGAGGTTTGTGCTGGCAGTCATTTGGAATGGCCGTGATGGGAATGCTGGCCTAAGTCTACTTGTGCTGCCCCTTAATAAACAGGCCACACCTGTCAGTTTCCCTGGGCATTTGCTTATGTGACACAGTTTACTGTCGGGGGTAACATTCACATGTGCTCATTCATCTTGTCAGTATCCTGCCACCACTGTAGCCAGCTGGCAGCAGGGGAGGCCAGCAAGACCAGAGCACAGGAAAGCACGTTTGGGACTAGTGAGAGGAGCCTGGAGTTCAGGGCATTCAGAACATTGGGGAGATATTCAGTGTAATGAAGGGGTTCTGAGAGCCCAGTTTTGTCCTCACTGTGCGTGAACTGGGCCCCCGAAGTATGCACAATAGGCCCAGAGAGATATTACAGCTCCAGGTGCCTGCATTGTGCAGGGTGTACTCCAGTCTCCTGCACTGCCTCAGATCCTCTGAACACCACTGCATGTGGCAAGAAAAGCCACGGTGAGGCACCATCTGTTGGGTACATACCCCAGGCAGAGTGACGGGGTCAGGGCGGGGATGGGATGCAACTTAGGGGGCCAGTTGCATAACAGGATCCTCCCTGTGGCTGCAGACGGCTGTGACGGTTAGGTGTGCAGCGGACACTCAGGCTCTGTTCCTGTCTCCCCTTCCTTGGCTTAGATCTTTCCTGGCTCTCTGAGTGCTAGAGACTCTGCACTCCATCAAACCATCCTTCAAAGAAAAGTTGTCTAAGTCTCATTTTCCCCTTTGCATAGGAAGCGGAAAACACACTTCGCTTGATGCAGAACAAGCTGAAGGAAGAGGAGAAGCGGCTACTCAAGAGTGGAAGTAAGGGAAGTTGCCATAGCACAGTGGGGAGGGCCCTGAGCTTGCACGCAGCCGATGTGGATTCAATCCCTGGCATCCCATGTGGTTCCCTGAGCACCTCCAGGAGTAATTTCTTAGTGCAGAGCCAGAAGTAACCCCTGTGCATCACCGAGTATGACCCAAAAAGCAAAAAAAAGAAGAAAAAAAAGAGTGGAAGTAAGGTTGTTTTCTGGAGGGGTCGTGCTGGAGTGGACGCCTGTTAGCTAAAAGTGTCTCTTTTACTTTGTGTTAGGTTCACACCTGGTAGTGCTTGGGGGTTTTCAGCTCTCTTAGCCATCTCCCCAACTCGCATACTCAGAGCTTTTAATTGATTACTTGGATAAGACAGAGGTTAAGACACTTGCCTTGAATGTAGCCATCTTCATTCAATCCCCAGCACTACATATGGGTCTTTAAGCCCCGCCAAGAGTGATCTCTGAGCACAAAGCCAGGAGTAGTTTCTAAATACTGCTGGGTGTGGCCCTACTCAGCCCAGCCCCCAAACACCCAGTGAACACCATGTCATTGCCTGCACTGATTCTTGGTGAAGTGTCTTGGGATCTGTCACATGCAGCAGAGAGGCTGGGAAAGGTGGGCTCCTTTGCTGTTGTGGAGTAATGAGGGATGCCCCATTGGTGGCCTCTTGTGTCCTGCCAGGTAATGATGACTCAGACATTGACATCCAGGAGAACGATGAGTCTGACAGTGAACTGGAAGAGAGGCGGCCGTCCAAGCCACGGACAGCCATGGAGATGCTCATGCAAGGTACCCCAGTCCTTGTGTTGCCTGCTCCCTGGGCCCTGACTGCTTGGGGTAAGGACTGGAAACCCTCTGTGAGTCCCACAGTGTATAACCGACACTGTTGCTATCAGATGGTTAGATACAGTTCTGGCCATTAACTCTCAGCATGGTCCCAGAAGTAGCTAATTTTTCTCTGGCCTGGTATTTCTCACCAAGACCACAGGAAAAAATAAATCTTTTGTGCCACTGAACTGTCTTCCATCACTTCGGGGTCCAATTTCCTCTCTCCTCCCTCTCTCTCTCTCTCTCTCTCTCTCTCTCTCGTTTCTCTTGTTTTTTGGGCCATGCTCAGCATTGTTCAGAGCTGATTCCTTGCTCTGTGCTTAGCAATCACTCCTGTTAATGTTCTGCTGGTGTCTACGGTGTGCAAGGCAAGCTCCATGCCCCCTGTGCTCTCTCTCTCTCTCTCTCTCTCTCTCTCTCCAGTCCCTGCTTGTCGTACAGTGAGAGAGTTAATGCATAAAGGATATATATCTCTCAGCTCTTAACAACCTTCTTCTGATTTGTATTTTCTGCTGCAGAGGGTCAAGCTATCAAAGATGTGGCGCAATTAAACATTACAATGAGAGATTTTTTTACAGCAGGTAGAGTGCTTACCTGGCATATGGCCAACCCAGATTCTACCCGTGGCAGCACATATGGTCCCTGAGCACTGCTGGGTGGGCCCCCCCAAAAAACCAAAAACAAAACTTTTTTTTTCTCTTTTTGGGTCATACCTGGTGTTGCACAGGGGTTACTCCTGGCTCATGCACTCAGGAATTACTCCTGGCGGTGCTCAGGGGATCATATGGAATGCTAGGAATCGAACCTGGGTCAGCCGTGTGCAAGGCAAATGCCCTCCCCACTGTGCTGTTGCTCCAGCCCCAAAACAGAACTTTCTGAAGGAAGGCAGAGCTCCTCATTTTGGCTGATCTTTTGCTTTTGTTCCTTCAGGAAGACCAAGCAAGCGCATCGTGGGCACAATGCAGGGCGGAGACTCAGATGATGATGTGAGTCCTGGGGCGGGGGGTACTACCCTGTGGAACTTCTGTCCTTCCCGCTCCTGGGCTGCCCTTAGAGCTCAGCCTTGCTGCCTGGCTGGCCCTCACTGGGTCTGCTCGGCCCTGGCTCCCGTTTCTTCTTTTCAAGGGAATGTGCTTGCCCTCCTCTTGGTTTCCTTCTCACTCTTGTTTCCATTCTCACTTTCCAAAGGCGGGAGCAGCACCAGCTCTCTTAGGTAAACCCAAGGCTTCCAGCTCCAACAAGAAGGTTGGTTTTCAGTTTCACTCTTCCATTTCTGTGTGTGTGCATGTGTGCATGTCCACCGTGGCCAGCAGAGCTCCCGCCCCCGAGTCCTGGGCACTAAGCCACAGTGAATGATGAAATAGTGCAGTTGCCCCCGCTATGGAGAAGGATGAGCACCAGGCCGGGAGCCAAGACTGGTTGGTGCTGGTGCTCACAAGTCCACTGAGCCTCAGCCTTCCCAGGAGGGAGGCGGCTCTTGCCTGGGCTTGGCACGTGAGAAAGGCTCTTCCCATAAAGGGCCTCGGCGAGGCTGATCAGGACACCTTGGCAGGCTTGAGCCTTGTCACAGGGCTCCCCGATGGCAGCAGACATGCTGTCCACTCCGGCCTTTCCCGACTGGTCCTAGTCTTGGTGCTGGAGGTCCAAGGCAACCAGAGCTTGGAGAGCCCAGAGCGCCGTGCCCTATGCTCTGCCCTCCCACGCAGGCGCACAGAGAAGGCAGGCCTGGACCTCGAAGAAGGGCTTCGGAACAGCAGAGGAACCAGCTTACACCTGCCCTACGAAGGCTGGGAACGCTCATTCGCATGACCCTCAAGAAAACCTGGGGGATGCTGGGGCGCATGCCTGCCTTACTCATGGTTTCAGCGTGTTTCAGTAGCTTTCTGCTTGCAGAATAAGCACCTTAACTACAGCCTAGGTGGGCTCTGGACTGTTTCTCTATCGTGTGTCCCCCTGGGGCAGGACTCAAGTCCTTCCTGCGTTCACTCATTCACTCCATGACACAAGGCTGCTCGGCCCTTCCCCCGGCATCTCCATTCATCAGAATTGCAGCGCAGCCAAGTGCTCCTTTGTACAGTCCCCTGACCCTTCTGCTGCTTTCTGAAATGAAAACTCCAGCATGTCAGCGTGCTGGTGGAGTGACCCAGAGTGACCGCCCTCCTGGTGTTGCACCCTAGCTGCCTAGTCGCCCTTATTCAGGTGACACAGGGGAATGATGCTTTGCTTCACTTACTTTTGGTTTGGTGTTTAGAGCTTACTTCCTGGCGGTGTTCAGGGGACCCTGTGGGGTGTCAGTGATTGAACCTGGGTAGGTTGTGTGCAAGTGCCCTAACCACTGTACTATCTCTCTGATCTGTAGTCTGCTCTTTAATCTTGTTCTTGTGTCGCTTTTCATCCTTAAGCTGACAAAGGTAGAAGCAGCTCCCCTTCCTTTCTCCCAGCTGCTGACCTGTTTGCTGACCCTGGAAGGCTCTTGACCCCAGGGCAGTACTCAGTGAGTGTCGGTGACAGCCCAGCCTCAGTGCACAATGTTGTATGTGAAAATCACACTTGGAGGATGTCCTATTGGAGGGGGTAGCGGGGAGCTTGGTGTTAGGACCGGTTGGGCTACATCAGGCGATGCTCAGTATGTGGTGCGAAATTGAACCCAGATTGTCCACATGCAAGCCCACTGCTGTCCTCACTGTGCTATCATCTCTCTGGGCCTGAGGAAGTCTGTCTGTGCTCCAACAGCAGTAGTGGCTGCTGTCTCAGCTCAGACGCTGCGGCCTGACAGCACCTCAGCCAAGCCTCCTTGTTCCATTGGGTTCTTTGGATCCTCACCCAGATGTACATAGATAGGGCTTAGTCATCCCTCTATGCTCAAGGATCAGCCCTAGCAGAACTCGGGATCTGTATGGTGCCAGAGATCGAACCCAGGTTGTCCATATGCACTGCAAGCACCTGCTGTCTTTCCAACCCCTCAGCTAAGCCTCTTCATATGGAGTCTGTGAGTTACTGCCTTTTTCTCCACTTACAATGAAAAGTGAGGTCTGCTGAGCAGGGGTCACTAATGTGATGGGCCCTCAGTTGGGTTTGCTGTGTTCCCACAGGAAGACTCGGAGGACAGTGAAATTGACATGGAAGATGAAGAAGATGATGACGATGATTTGGAAGATGAGAGTATTGCTCTCACACCAGCTAAGCCCAGTCGAAGGGTCCGGAAGCCTGAGCCCCTGGATGAAAGTGACAATGACTTCTGACTTTCCCAAGGGACTAGACAGATTTAAACCTCAGATCCGTAGGTAAAAGGGACCCATAGAAGATTAGGAAGGAAGTATTTGTTCACAGAGCCAGCTGGATTCAATGAAGCAATACCTGTTTCCGCTTTAGCATCCTGCGTGTTACTGCACAAAGCTTAAATAAGAACTGAAGCATGCCCCAAAGAACTGGGGGTGCAGGTGGGTGGGAGGACTTTGTTGGGGACTGGGGTCTTCTTAGTGATTCACATCTGTAAAGGAAAAACCTGAAGGGGTCTTCAAGCCATCCCATGTACCAAGTTTGCTCTGAGAGGAAGGTGCAGTAGGACAGATAGACAGGTTGCTGGGCACAGGGCTGCTGGAGTCTAGGCGCACATCTGTCTGCTGGCCAGGTGCATTCTGCTTTAACATGGACTGTGTGTTTGCCTCCGACTTCAGCCTTTCCCAGCTCTATTTCCTTTTGTTCTACATGCTTTGCAATACCAAGCTTAATGCATTTTATTAACAGATGTTCTAAAAGAAGTTTTGCTAAGTTGGATAAAAACCAGCTGGCAGCAGAGGGTGGTTGGGAAGGCTCCTTTTCTTTCCAGAGACTGATATTCCTCAGGAAGGAGTATATTAAGGAGAACGTGTCAGTGTGGGTTTGTTGGGTTTGTGTATCTGAGTTTTTAAATCAAAGTCAGAGGGGCTGGAGAGATAGCACAGCGGGTAGGGCCTTTGCCTTGCATGCAGCCGACTAGGGTTCAATTCTCAGCATCCCATATGGTCCCCTGAGCACGACCAGGGGTAACTCCTGAGTGCAGAGCCAGGAGTAACCCTTGTGCGTCACCGGGTGTGACCCAAAAAGCAAAAAAATCAATAAATCAAAGTCAGAATTCCATTGAGCCAGGAGTCATCGGAATCCCCACAGCAATGAGAGGTGGTGGTTGATTGTTCTGCAGTGTAGAGCATGCATATATGTTTTCTTTATTTCACAAGGACAAAATCAAGACTCCTGAGGTTCCTTACCTCTAAATATATGTAGTTTATATTACAATTTTATTTTTATTAAATAAGTTTTATTGGAAAGTATAATTTTATTTGTACCTGTAACATGATCATCCAAGAAAGGTTCAAGTGTGCATCTTCGGCGCTCACACGAGAGGGCTTTTCCTCACCTATGCGGCCTTTCTCCATCATCTCCCCAATTGTGATTCTGCATTCAGTTCCCCCATCTCATGAGGCTGCAGGTTTTGCTCAGGGAGTCGTGAGAGACACAAGTGTGATAACCCTCCCTCACTGCCTCTGCAGGCACTGCATCTTCTTGGGCATCCATCGTAGCTGTGATTTACTGCGTCCAACTTGCTTTATACTTTAAAAGAACAGACAAGGTCTTGTTTTCCTTAGTGCTTTCTTCTAACATACAATAGTATGAAAGCCGAGCATGAGTCATGGATGAAACACGCCAGCGCGGAGCAGGTGTGCCAAGGGTGGTCATCGCTTTCAAGTGCTTGTCATGTGGCTGTTTCCAGCCCAGAGGTGATGATTGATAGCCCCCTCCACACACAGGAGTGCTTTGGTGAAGACTCAGAACTGCCCCAAGGAAGATTGTGCAGAGGGGTTGATGGAAAATGAGCAGATAGTTTTCACTGTGTAATAAAGAACCTCAAATTCCTTAGATACATGTATTGACAGAAAATACAAAAGGGATATTTTTGTTTTTTGGATTTTTTTTTTTTGTCTTCTTGGGTCTCATCTGGTAGTACTTGTGGTTTACACTTGGCAGTGCTTGGGGGATCATATGGAATGCCAGGGATTGAACGTGGGTCGGCTTTGTGGAAGGCAAATGCTCTATTTGCTGTACTGTCGCTCTGACTGCACAAACTGATTTTTAAAAACTGGTTATGTCCAGGGGGTATGGTGCCACCAGCAGCTCAGTCTGTACTTGTGAGGCGAGTGCTTCAGCAGCCTGATGGTGCCTTCAGACTTCCAGATTTGCTGCTGTGCCTTTGACCAGACCCCAAAAACTTGGGGCAAAGTTTACCAAGAAAGTAAACGGCCAAAAGTTAGGTATGTGGGAAACACACCCACAAACCACCTCCGGCTCAGCTATATAATTGGAGGCATGGCCTCTCTGGTTCCTGATTGAACTGCTTAATGGCCATGATCCCAGAGGCTCAGAAACAAATCTCAAAACCCAGCGGCTTTTGGCAGAAATGTGTCTGGTCTACAGTAGGTTACCGGTGCTGGACCAACCCAGGTGGGAATAGGTTTCGTGCCTTAGCCTGTTCCCCCCAGTGGACCAGTGGCCGCCATCCTTCAGAGGCCACTGGACAGTCAGGTTTGGGCCCCCAGTGACGAGACACGCAGGGCCTCACGGGATGGGGGTGGAGCCGGGCCTGTCCTCCCCACCCCAACGAGACCCCAAGTCATCACCCACAAACGGCCTCTCTGGCTCCTGATCATGCTGCTTAACAGCCATGATCCCAAAGACTCAGAAACAAATCTCGAAACCCAGCAGATTTTGGCAGAAATGCATCCGGTCCCTGCAGTAGATTACCAGTGCGGGGCCAACCCAGATGGGAATAGGTTTCGTGCCTTGGCCTGTTTCCCCTGGCGGCCACTGGACAGTCAGGTTTGGGCCCCCAATGACGAGACACGCAGGGCCTCACGGGGTGGGGGTGGAGCCGGTCCGGTCCTCCCCACCCCAACGAGACCCCAAGTCATCGCCCACAAATGGCCTCTCTGGCCCTTGATCAAGCTGCTCAAAGGCCATGATCCCAGAGACTCAGAAACAAATCTCGAAACCCAGTGGCTTTTGGCAGAAATGCATCCAAACCCCACAGTAGGTTGCTATCACCGGGCCAACTCAGTGGGGAAAGGGTGTTGTCACTCCACCTGCTCCCCCTTGGCGGCTCGTTGGCCATCATCCTCCAGAGGCCATGGGACAGTTAGTCTTGGGCCCACAGTGACAAACTTGTTGGGCCTCACGGGATGGGGGTGGAGCCGGTCTTGTTCTCCCCATCCCAAGGAGACCCCAAGTCATTGCCCACGAACAGCCTCTCTGGCTCCTGATCAAGCTGCTTAATGGCCATGATCCCAGAGACTAAGAAACAAATCTTGAAATCCAGCAGCTTTTGGCAGAAATGCATCCGAACCACACAGTAGGTTACTGTCGCCAGGCCACTCCAGGGGGGAAAGGGTGTTGTCCCTCCGCCTGTTTCCCCCTGGCAGCTCAGTGGCCATCATCCTCCAGAGGTCATTGGACAGTCCAGTTTAGGCCCGCAGTGATGAGACATTTTGGGCCTCACGGGATGGGGGTGGAGCCGGTCCTGTCCTCCCCACCCCAACGAGACCCCAAGTCATCGCCCACGAATGGCCTTTCTGCTCCTGACCAAGCAGCTTAATGGGTGTGATCCCAGAGACTCAGGAGCAAATCTCGGAACCCAGCAGGTTTTGGCAGAAATCCCTCCAGATTTAAGTGTTAAAATTTCGGACTTTCAAAATTGCGCAGCCACTACTACAGCCACGTGACATCATATGTTATTCATAACCAGCAATAGAAAACAAATTGTCTACAGTTGCCTTTTCAGTCGATCTGAGTGTTGGGGTAAAATCTCAAATAATAATGGTGGGTCTGGTGTCAAAATATTAAATGTGATCAAAGTAGAGAGAGAGTAATGTGGAAATCATCTGCCCCACGGGTAGGGGGAGGGTGTGGGATGGGGGTATACTGGGGGGGTTGGGGGTGGAGAATGGACACTGGTGAAGGTATGGGTGTTTCATTGTATGACTGAGACTTGGATCCAAAAGCTTTGTAACTGCTCTCACGGTGATTCAATAAATAAAATTATAAAAAATGAAAAAAAAAAGTAAGGTGGAGTTCATGCATAATTCAATCATGCATCGCTTAAATCTATACTATACATATTTAATCAGTGGTTGAATAAATAGCAGTACTTCTACATTAAAAAAAAAACTGGTTATGTCCATGCCTGGTGGTGCTCGTGCTCCCTGTGGTTTTACTTTAATAACTAGGAAAAACTGCTTTTTCAGTGATGAAGAGTTGTACTGAGAAGACAGAAGGATTGAAAGGTTATAATATTCTGGAAGCCAAGGCAGGAGAGAATGTCCAGAGAAGGGTGAAGCCAGAAAGTGCTAAATCCTTTCCAGCGGTGCTTCATCAGAAAGGTCAATGAAGTTAGAAAGACCGTGATCTTAGGAAGAGCTCAGAGAGGTGGGTTGAAGAGGGTTGGATCAGAAAGCATCGTGGCTGCTTCACAGTGAGTTCTGCCGAGTTGGGTTGAAAGTGAGGTCTGAGTGCATTCTGGAAGGGCACTTTCCTTTTCCCCCAGAGGAAAATGAACAAGATCTTTTTAGTTGAAGGGGGGACTAGCTCATGAGTGAAGGATTAGCACTACCAGTTGTGTTCAATATATGATATCTACTTCGCTTAAATCTATACTATACATAGATCATAAGATGCGTTGATACTCCTATTGGGGTAAGAAGGCTAAAGTTGCCTTCATGATCTTTTATACCTTGTTTTTATATCATCTTTTTTAGTAAAGGCCCCCCACCCCAATTCTAAAAGAATCAAGCTGTTTTCAAGCAGTTGCAATAAAACTCAACACATTATAAGGAATATTAAAGGAGCACCCAATAAATAGAATTCTCAATGTCTAGTTTCCAATAAAAACTAAAATTACCAGGCTTAATGAGAAAAGTCAGGAGCCAGACCAAGAAATGACCCACAGATGACATGATAGAGTCAGTTCGAGCAACCTATAAGCGGTTATAACTGGTCCATGTTCAGGAGGCAGAGGTGTGAAGACGTTAAAGAGGGAAGGAAGATAGAAAGTCTCAGGGGGCTCAAGGCACCTGCCTTGAAGGGGGGTGGGGAGTTCTGAGTTCAATTCCAAGTGCCACCCCCACGTGCTGTGTCAGCACAGCGTGACAACTGTGTGAGCCTTGAGAGCTCCATGACCAAATGTGCCAGCACTGCTCCTTGAGCACCTATGTGTGTGACCCCCAGAAAACACCACAGCTAGGCACGTGGCCCCAGTCTTTGTAGCAGTATCAGAAACAAAGGGAAGAAAAGCTGCTAGAGATTAAAAATAAATGAGATGAAACTATGCTTGTGATATTAAGAACAGATTAAACACTACAAAGAAAATGAAGGTGGCAGTAAAAACTGTCCAAAATGAAAAATATAAAGAAACTCCACTGTGATATTTATTGTCTTGGAGCAGTAGTACAGTAGCACTATCAAAAACCAGAGGACAGAAAAGGAAGATCTCATTGTGTCCTCCACATAGCACCTGAGGTACCTGGTGGCCGTTCCTCCCGTTACTGGCCTTGCTCCCTTCATTAAAGTAACATTTGCCCAGCTTCCCCATCTTTGCAAGTCCCTTTTTCCAAGTGTAAATGTCCCTTCATGGAGCTGCCCTTTGATTTGGGTCTCTTCTGCCATAGGCTTCCCCTGTGCTTTGGACCTGAGCACTCATTTTCACTCTAGTTTTTGGGTCATACCACGGGGTGCTGGAATGTAGCCCACGTCAGCAGCGTGCAAAGAGGTTCCTACCTGCTAACTGTCGCTCTAACCCCCCGAACACTTTTTTCCACCATTTCTGGCCCACACTGGACAGTGATCAGGGGTACTCTGTACTCAGGAATTACTACTGGCAGCCTTGGGGAGGACCATATGGGGTGCTAGGGATTGAACTCACGTTGGCCACATTTCAAGGCAAAAGCCCTCCCCTCTACGCTATTGTTTATTTTAAAATAAACATTTGGAACAGTGCTTCTCATTCAGATTTTAAAGTAGTTTCTTTCCTCAGTCTGCATTTTCCTGGGTAACCCTGAGGTGCGTTTGGAACCTGCTTCCTTTCAGTGCCCACATCTGAGGGAATCTGTGCCCAGTGAAAGCTCAGCGTGTCTTCCCAGGGGAGCCGGGCCCACACAGTAGTTTCGGACGCTCAAGGCACCATCATTAAGTCACTCAGTGAAGCAGCCCTGTGGCGACTGCATGGCCACACCAGAGTGCCCTGGGACATTCTGATGATGAAAGATGGCAGAAGCCTCACCTCAGAGAACCCTGTGTTTATGTCTTCTGTCTCCAGAGTCCTGAAGCCAAAGCCTTCATGTCTCTTCACAAGTTTTTCATAGTTTTTCCGTGAACCTTGAAGGATCCTAGAATTTTCCTCTTGAAAAGAGAGATTCCCTCTGTCACCGGCGCCCAGTGACCATAGCCTCACCTTTAGAGTGGGACTGCGTGGGTCAGTGGAGACCTCTGCGTAGCATTGACTCGGACAGACCTTCAGCTGAGCTTTGAGGCCTGAGTGGAAGGTCCTCCCTTCTCTGCCAGCACTGGGCTTGGTGGGCTGAGGTGACCATGCAGGAGGCCAGCACCGTTCCCTGACTATAAGAAGGCCCCTGGAAGCCCATTGTCTTGCTGGAAGGCTTCCTGCCACGCCCTGTCCTCCATCCAGCATGAGTTTGTGCTCACATCTCCACAGTGCATGCTGGGGCGTTGGTCTTGATGGCCTCTGAGATCATTCTGGCCCCAGACTCTCCGATGTGGTTTCCCTGAAGGCTGGAAGAGACAGATTAGGAATGGGCTAGAGAAATCGGGTGAAGAGCTAGCGGCCTACAGTTCTCTTAGGTAAAGAGCAAATAGTTGCAGAAAACGCAGAGCTCTGAGCATTGAAATCTTCGTGCATCCAGCTCCTCCATGGATGAGAGCGGCTCCCTACCCAGTGGCACTCAGGGATCACTCCTGGCAGTGCTCAGGGGACCACACGAGCATTCCAATCAGGCCCCGATTGGCTGCATGCAAGGCAAGTGAGCACCCTGCCCGCTATACTGTCTTGCACTGGAGGTCAGCTCCCTGTTCTCTCGAGTTGCCCTGCTGGGCTGCTGAGGGCACTAGGAGACCCCGAGCTGGGGTGAGAAGGGCAGGGAGGTGCCACTTACTTGATGTGCCGGAGCCCACGGTTACTTGCCAGCGCAGTGGCCACACAGAGCACCTCTTCCATCCCCAGGGAATTTTCTTGAAGGCTACGCAGAGAAGAGGCGAAGACCCGCAGTGAGCATTCAGGATGAGCCCTTCGGCCCAGGAAGCTGCACTGTAGGGGGGCGCAGAAGGGGGACAGCGTTGGGTGGGTTTGCCACAGGTATCAGTGCTGGTAGGGGCAGAAGCTGAAACTGATTCCTCAGGAGAAAGCCTGCCTGTTCATGCCGTGGAGGAGGCCATGGGACCCAAAATGGATGGTCGGCATCTGATCTTGTCCCCTTAAGCTCAGTTGACTGGGAAGAAAGAGCCACTGACTGGGCCACTCAGCCACTCACCTGAGCCTCCGCAGACTTGTGTTGACCTTGAGAGCGCTTGCCAGGGCCTTTGCTCCCGCCACACCGATAACGTTTCCTCTTAAGCTGCTCAGAAACCGAAACCTCAAGTTCAGTGAGAGCTGAGACCAGCCACCACGAGGCTCAACTGACCCTTGCCTCGCCCAGAAAAAGGGTCAGCTCTGGGAAACAGACCACCCAGGGAGGGGCTGAGGCCCACCCCAACCTGGAGGATGCACAGCCCTTCCCTCTGCCTTTTCCCTTCCAGAGGAAAGCTGGGTCTCAAAATGTACCCCAGGAACACGGAGCACTCAGGTATGCTTGCACGCTCCTGGGGGCCCTGCTTAGCCTGAGGACCCCCCCACCAGGAATCTTCAGAGACCAGCTGGCCACCCTAGGGCCTCTGAAAGGACCATACATCCTGGCAGGCCAGCCTAGAGGGCAGGGAGAGGGCGCTGGCGAGCTTAAGCTGCATGTGGCTGAGATGTGTGAGTTCATGTAAACTGCCATTTTTTTTTGTATCTGTTTGGAGCCAGCAGCTTGGTCTCTGAGTAAGATCCGGGAGACTGGTGCTTACTCGAGAATCTCCAGGGTTCTGTTCATGGTCAAGGCCTCCCCGAGTGCCTGGGCCCCCAGGGCACCGATGGACGTCACCTGGAGACTGAGAGGAGATGCGGTTGGGGGCGGTCAGGCTGGGGCCCTCTACCCTCACACCTGTTCCCACCCCGCTTCCAGACTCCCTTCACTTTTGCCTTCCCTTTACATAGGACTGCAGTGGCCGAAGAGCACTAGAGACGGTTGGCCCACGGCCTGCCTGAGGAACACTCGGTCTTACTGCTCTGATGCCCAGGTGAGGTCTGGTACCTGGGGCTTGGGAAGCAGTGGAGAGTGGCCCAGGTGGTTTGGGGAGAATAGGCCCAGTTCTGACGATGTGGGTACCCAGTTGCTAATGTGAGGTCGTACCCACCTTTCTTAACTGGGAAACCAGAGGGAGTGAGGGAACCAGGATAACCGAGTGACTTCCTGGGTGCCACACTCCCTGGGACTTACTAGAGTGCAGTCAGGGCCGTGTTCACCTTCAGGGCACCTGCCACCGCCGAGGCCCCTTCATCCCCAATGGTGTTCTCCTGTAAACTGAACACAGGGTGAGCCCTGCACCACAGCCGCTTCTCCCGCCCCGTCACACACACCCATGGCCTCAACTCCCATGGGGGCTCCTGGTTATCACTCAGAGGGATCTGGGGTCCACAAGAGAAGCAGGACAGATGAACATAAGGACACAAGGGCTTCTTGGAGCCTCCAGGAAACTCAGTGGCAGCCCTTGGTCCCCCCAGGCTGGTCTTCCTATTCTGTTTCATATTTTCTTTAATAGAAATCGTTCTGTTTAGGAAAAGCTGGTGAGAGTGAGCGAGTGAGCAGGACAGTGAATTCCATACAATGCAGAGACGTTACAGGCCAGAGCGAATCCCGTACGATGCAGAGCAGTTTTGGTTAGGCCCCGAAACTCCAAGTGGGATGTGGGGACTCCAGCCTGGAGCACAGTGTTTCATGTCTTAAGATCATGGCTCCCTCCCTGGAGCCACGTGGCTGGCCTCGAGCAGGGATTGGCCGAGCCCAGCACAGGGGCTGCAAGCAGTGCCGTCTTGCAGCCCCGTGCACTGGCTCAGGCTTAGCATCTGCAGGGCCCCTGGTGGGCACTGCACCCCCAGGCTGAGAGTCACTGTGAGGGGCCCCAGGGACACCTCCCCCAGAGAGAGGAGTAGGAAGGGAGTTGAAGCAGCCACTGGCCTGTTCCAGGGGCCGTTTGCCTTAGTGCCCCTAAGGAGTAGGGCAAGGACCAGGCATTCCTCTTCCCCAGGGGCGTGGGGAGAGGGCTCCGGGAAATGCCGTCGGGTATGAAGTGACGCTGGTGGCCAGGGTCCCTGGGAGCCGCACTAAGGGTCCCACTTGACTCTGCAGGCCCAGGGCAGCCCGCCAGGACGGGGACATTGATGATTTGGGGAAGATCTTTGGATGGGACGTGGAGGTTGCTGCCGCCAGTTTGGTGAGTGAGGCTAGGGCAAGAGGGCTGCTGAGGGCCTGAATAGAGGAGGGCCCAAGAGGATGAGTGGAGTTTGGGGAGAATGGGCAAGGCTGGACATGAATCTATGGTGGCCACCGCATCACATGATGGAACCAAGAAACCAGCCTGTGGGGGTACTTCAGGCACTTTGCAGACCCCCCTTCCACCCCCCATCATGGAGAGGCAGTAGCTCTGCAGGGCTGCAGCTGATAAGAGAGGTCTGAGGTCTGTAGCATAGGTATGGGGTCACTGGGACAGGTAGGTGCTGGAGGCCTGGGGGCAGGTGAAGAACATGGATTTCAGTTACCCAAGAGCCAGCCAGAGATGGGGCAGCCTGGAGGCTGAGGGGAAGCGGGAGCAGCCGAGCTGTCCCACCCTCCCAGCACACAGTGGCCCCACATGCCCACAAGGCACAGACACGAGCAGGCAGGCGGTTCCATCTGTCCATCCAGCCTGTGAGGTCTGCCCACAGTGGCTGCCCGGGCATGGTCAGGTAGAGGAGCCAACATGGGGAAATGGAGCATGACACTACTTGGATGTTGTGGGCCACAAACTGTCCCCACAGGGACCCTTCTGTGTTCAGAGCAGGCAGAGCCAGGTGCTAGGGGCACCAGGTTCCTGAAGGTGATGGAAATGCTGTAGAAGTGACTATGGAGGGGCAGATTGACAGCACGGCATTTCCCTCGCATGCATGCTGGTTCAATCCCCCGGCATCCCATATAGTCCTCGAGCACTGCCAGGAGTAATTCCTGAGCACAGAGCCAGGAGTAACCGCTGATCATCACTGGTATGACCCAAAAAGAGCCAAAGAGAGAAAAAAAGAGAAAGAATTGACTGTTGTGCTGGATGGTCCCCCACCGCAGCCTATCAGATGCCAGCAGGCGGCTTCGACAGGCGGGTGGGAGCGCCATAAAGTGGACAGAGCACACAAAGGTGAAACAAGCCTGCTGGTCTTTGGGCAGATGCGACCGACCGACTGCGAGCGGGGCCTGGGCCTGCCCCCCGCACCCCACAGCCCCTACTTACTGCAGACTGGCCAGGCTCCTGTTGAGCTGCAGTGCCTGGCCCAGCGCCTGGGCAGCGCCGGCCTGGAGGAAGTTCCACTGCAGGCTGCAGGACAGAACCATGTGACCCAGGGTGCAGGGCTGGGTCTGCAGCCCCAGGGTGCCCAACACCGCATGCCTCTCCATGGGCCGGTGTCGGGAGGTTGAGGGTGGCCTCCAGGAGCCCCGAGACGGTCGAGCCCAGCACTCGGCGGGCTGCATCCCTGAGGGGACAGTGGGCACTGCCGACTCACTGGAGGGACGTGAGCGCGCGGTTCTCCCGCATTGCCCCCGCGATGGCCTGGGCGCCCTGGTCATGCAGGAGGTTGGCTGTCAGGCTGAAGGGAAATGGGGGCGAATGAGGGGGCAGTCGGGGAGCCCCTGTCTCCCCGTTCATGTGTGCTCAGGTCCTGCAGAAGGGGCCAGTGGCTTTCCTCCCCGCTCCCTCCTGCCTGCTCCCGGGGCACGGAGCAGCCGCCGGGCCCAGCACTCACTCCAGCTCCCTCAGGCTGCTGTTGCCACGGAGCGCCTGCGCCAGTGCCAGGGCTCCCTCGGAGCTGATGGAGTTTTCTCGAAGGCTAAGAAAGGAGAAGAGCATGAGCTGCTGGCCAGGTAGGGAGGACCTCAGGAGACAGGTGCAGGGGACAGTCCAGGGAGGGGAGGACAGCAGGGGACCCTGAACAACTTGCATGTAGGAGCCACCTGGCCCAGATGGGCTGCCCAGCCCCGCCTGTACTTCCTGTCCCGAGAGCAGATACTCACTTGAGGCTGAGGAGGGTCTGGTTGGTGCAAAGGGCCCGGGTCAGCGCCGACACCCCTGAGTCACTGATGGAATTGCTCTGCAGGCTGTAGACAGGGCATACTTGGTCCCAGGGCCCAGGGCTACCGGGCGGCTGGGAAGTCCAGAGAGTTGGGGCCTGCAGGCAGGACGTCGAGCCCGGGCCAGGGGTCCAGGACAGCCCGCAGAGCTCAGGCTCAGCCCTGCTTCGGTGCCTGCCAGCAGCCTCCAAGGATCAGGGCGTGTTGTGTCTGCAGCCGGCAGAGAATGGCACCACCAAGTCTCCCCAGTTGGCATCATCAAATGCCCTGTCCCCAAGGCAGCTGCCCCGTCCTGGCCACTGGCTCAGCCTCTCACAGGCTGTGGGTGCTGCTTATCACCCTACAAACTTCAGACCCACCAGCCCGTCCTGGGGCTCCAGGTGGGTGGGTCCAGATGGGCGAGGCAAGCATGACTGACCACGCCCCGGCCCCACCTACCCGCCGGGTGGGAAGCCCCTCAGCCCGCGGGGGTCACACAGACTCACCCCAGGCTTCCCAGACTCTGATTCTCCTGCAGGGCCTCAGCCAGCGCCCTGGCGCCTCCATCGCCAATGCCGTTACTGGAAAACCTGCAAGGGCGGCCCAGTGAGCAGAGCAGGGCTCTACCACCCTCTCAGGAAGAGGTGGCCTCTGTTGTCACAGGGGGCTTCGACCCCCTGGCACTGGGCAGAGGACAAGGCCTTTGTGAGGGATATCTGTGATCATTGGAGAAGGTGGCCGGAAGTGCCAGGAAAGCCTTACATCGTGGCGGTGACACTGACGCCTTTCCCTGCCCTGGGACTCTAGGCCTCCATTCCCCTGATCAAGCCTTTTAGAGCGAAAACCAATGTCCTGCCCTCCCAGCTTCTATCTACTCACTCACTTACCCACGCATCTGTTCTTCCCTTAATCTGTCCGTCCCCTATCCATCATACATTCATCCATCCATCACTCAGTGATCCACCCACCCGTCCATTTGTCCTCTGACCCGCCCATCCACCCACAGTCCATCTACCCACCTACCCACCTATTCATCCTCCCACCCAGCCAGCCATCCCCCCATCCCCCCAGCCCCCACCCACCATCCATCCTCTCACCTACTCATTCATTCATCCTCTCACCCAGCCATCCATCCACCCACCCCCCCGCCCCCACTCACCATCCATCCACCCACCCACCCCCAGCCCCCACCCACCTACCCATCCATTTGTTCTCTGACCCACTGAGCCATCCACCCACCCACCACCCATCCATCCACACACCTATCTGTCCACCCACCCACTTATCCATCCATCCATCCATCCATCCATCCATCCATCCATCCATCCATCTCTTCATCTCCATGTACACAAATACTTGTTGAGCGAGTACTGTGCCAGGCACAGAGCCCCTGTGTAGCCCATCTGCATGTCTCACATGAGCTCCTTGAGGCTCCTGTTGTGTTTCAGGGCGGCTGCCATGTGCTGGGCTCCTGTGGGCCCGATGTTGTTGTTCTGTAGGCTGTGGGAAGTGAATGGGATCCTTAGGCAAAGCTGGCCTCGGCCATTCTGCTTCATGATCAGATATCAGAGGGTATGCAAGTGTGGGCAGGGCTCCAGGTAAAGGCCTGTAGACCATTTCCGAAGTCCCATGTGGAGAGGAGGCGACAAGGACAGCACCCTGGCGGGCCCGGGAGAACAGCAGTGGCCGGCACTGTTCTCTCCAGCAGCTCCGGAATCCCCCCAGCGGGATTCTCGAGGATTCCCATACTGCTGGCCCCATCCCAATGGCCCTCATGCTGCACAGACCGTCCCTAGCAAGGCCAGCACCCCCCCTCCCCTGCACTGCATCCCCAGCCACCCAGCCCCAGGCCTTCCCCTGGCTTCCCAGTGGCTAGAGCTTACTGGGTTTGCCCTGCAAAACCCTTCCTCTGTTCCTTTGAGCAGCATGTGGGTCTTTTAAAATGCTAAGTAGGCCTCATTCATCCCAGACCCTGTGACCTGACAGGTGTGCACCAGGTTAAGAGCAACTCCCTGGTCCGAACACTCCCTTCCCCACCCCCTCCTGTCATGGTTTCTGCTGGACAGCTGGCCTGAGCAGCTCTCTCCTCTGGACACAGAGGCTGTGCGCCACCGGGGACTGTCCCCTTTTCCCTAAGGACAGACGATTGCTCAAAGTGTGCATGGGCCGGCTGCTAGGACAGGTGGGGTGGCACCTTGTGACAGCTGCAGACAACGCAGGGTCTGGTGAGGTTTTACTCAGGTACAAAGTGTGGAGACCTTTCAAATTGCTGCCACAGCCCTGATCCCTGGGTGAAGCCCTGGCCACATGCCACTCCCATCTTCTTGCAGAAGGCAAGCGGAGAGGAAGGGGCGGGGGGGACAAGGGAGGCCAGATCCCGCCACTCACTGCAGCGTGGAGAGAGTCCGGTTGGCGGCCAGGGCCTCGGCCAGGTACTTGGCCCCGTCATCACCGACCATGTTGCTCTGGAGGCTGCAGAGACAAGAAAGGGCCGGAGTCTCGGTCAGAGTCCCCAGCAGAGACAGCCCTGATGGCGCAGGTCCCCTGGGAGCGCAGAACCGTGGCCCTTCAAACTGGTGACCACGGTGTCTGGTAGCAATGACAATGATATTCACAGCTTTCAGAGCTGCTAGCAGGCGAGGATTTGGAGAGAGCGCCCTACTCTTGGGGGACATAGTGCAGAGGTGACTGGAGCACAGTCTGGCAGGAGCCTATAACCCCAGGGCCCAGGGAGCAAAGCAGTGAAGGCCTTCCTGTGTCCTGGGGAGCCGCAGGGGAGCACGGTGGTGGCCCTGCTCAGGAAGAACAAGCTTTTTACAGCAGGCTTTGCTGTGCTCCTCTCCACATGTCCGTATTTCGGTCCCTGCTCAATCCGTTAACTCGGACACAATCACTGGGCAAGACAGTGGGTGGGGATTGGCTCGAGATCCCAAATCCTATATTATCTGGTGGATCGCAAATTCTGGTCCTGCCATTTCCATCGCTGTCCCACTCATAGACCAAGAGCGGAGGGCACGCACCTCAGAGAAGTCAGAGTCCGGTTGATCTTCAGGGCATCAGCCAGCGCCTTGGCCCCCGGAGGCCCAATGGAGTTGCTACGGAGGCTGGTGGTCAGAGAGAAGTGGTCAGTTCCTCCCGGGGATGAGGCCCAGCTTCCCTCAGTTTCAGTCTGTCTGACCCAGGGCCTGACTCCTTGGCCAGATGCAGGGCTGAGACTCGGTGCCCCTGTCACCCCCCACCCCCGACGGCAGGGCTGGGCCTCCCACGCACTCACTCCAGAGCGGTCAGGCTTCTGTTGACCAGCAGGGATCTGGCCAGGGCTCTGGCCCCTTTGCTCCTGATCTGGTTCTCCGCCAGGCTGCCCCAGGAGAGGGAGAGAATGGTTACTTGAGGCCAGTCAGGCCTGACCCTTTTCCAAGCCACCTGCGAGCAGAGCTGCGGCACGATACCCCTGGGTGTCCAGGAGATCACTCAGCATGAGGTGGTCCTGGCGCCTCGGGCTCTGGGAGATTCCTTCATTCTCTCTCCCTCGGCACAGAGGTGATCGTACACGAACCATCATCCTCTGTGCCTGATTTTCTACTCCTGACTTACTCCGTGGTGTGGCTTTCTTAGAGACAAGCTCAGAAGCTCATGGGAAGATGGCAGTTGCTCTCTGGAGTCACCCTTTGGGGCTGTGGGCCCGGACATGTTTGTCCAGGCTGTGTGGAGATCACATGGATGCCATCCCGTGGGAGCATACGGAAGCCAGGCCGTGGACAGGCCTCCCGGCCCGCACGTGTCTTTCTGCTTCTGTCCACCCCCTCCCTGCGGCAGCCAGCGTGCCCCTTCGGAGAGTCCCCGGCCACGGAGTGGGTACCTGAGCCTCCCAATGTGGCAGTCCTTCCTGCTCAGAACACTGCCCAGCAGCTCTGTCACCGGCTCCTGGAACTGGTTGGCGTCCAGCCTGCACAGGGGGAGCAACGGCAGGGAGCAGTCTGAGCCGGCCGGTCAGACAAAGCCCGGACATCCAGATGGGGGGTGAGCTCAGCCGCCCAGAGCAGCACTGCCAGGCTCAGGGACCTCCTTGCGGGGAGCTGCCTCTGGAGGCACATGAATGCCAGCAGTGCTGCCTGGGGACGGCTTTTGGGGTAGAGTGTGCCCCCCTCCCCAGTGCCTCCAGGATGTGGCCGTGTCACCGACGGGCCTCCAGCCTGGGGGACTCGAGCTTCCATGCTGGTGCCCAGAGGGTAGACAGGGCCACCTGCCACCGACCAGGGGTCAGAGCAAGGCCGGAGGGGCAAGTGGCAGGGAGAACTCAGCCCCGCCCACGTCTGACTGTTCGGAGGGCGGGAGCAAGTGTCCGTGGGATTGACCCCCCAACTGGACACAGCCGAGAGCTGGCCATGGGCAGGAACGTTCCACTCCGCCCCGCACCTTGTGCCCCTCACAGCCCGGTGCCCACCTCAGGCTCCGGCAGTAGAGCAGCTGGGGCAGCAGGCTCTGGAGGACCCCCTGGCTCAGGCGCAGGGGCAGGTCGGTGTCCTGGGCGCGGGCGTCGGACACCTGCAGGGCGTAGGCCAGGGCTGCGCGGTGCGCGGGCGTGGTGAGAGCGGCCAGGCCCCCGCCCTCCAGGGCGGCCTCCACGCTGCAGAATAGCTCGGTGTGCTGCAGCTCCTGCAGGCACTGCACCACGTTGACCTCACGGGCACTGACCGCCACGCCGGGCCGCAGGCAGCCCTGCAGGAGCTCGGCGGCCTGTGCCCAGTAGCCCTGGTGCTCACCCTGGGCCAGCAGGGACCCTGCCAGCAGGGCGTTGACCCTGGGGGACAGGAGGCCAGACAGGAAGCGCAGGAACACGTCCAGCCGCCCATCCTCGGCCTGCATGGCCCGGTGGGCCGCGTTCCGGAAGTGCGCGAGGAAGCCGAGTCGGGGCCAGGACATGCTGCCCTCGGTGAAGAGGTCGAAGACAGCCCTCTTGGATGCGCTGCAGTAGTAGGCGGCTGCCATGAACTCCTGCAGCGAGAGGTGGGTGAAGCTATACACCGCGCCCTCATGCTGCAGGAAGCAGCTTCCCAGACGGCTGGGGAGCAGCGCCAGGTCCACGCCGAATGCCTTGAGGTCCATCTCGTAGAACACGCTTTTCTTCCTGAGCAGCCCGTGGAAGGCCAGCCGGCCCAGCGTGCTCACCAGCTTGCGGCAGCCAGGGGCCACCTGCTCAGGGCGAGGGCTCAGGCTGCCCTTGTCTGCCCTCTCCCCGCCAAGGGCCATCCTGAAGTAGCAGGAGTAGAGCTCACATAGGCCTCTGGGGGGCTGCAGCTCAGTGTCCTGGGGCCCTCGCCTGTGGCGGCCCACGTGGCCCAGGGCCGAGCCCACCAGGTGGCAGAAGGCCGGAACGGTGCACAGGAGGTAGAGCGCCCGGTTGGCCTGCACCTGGCTCAGGACCCAGGCGGCCAGGGCCGGGGCCTCAGAGAACATTCGCTCCAGACACGCGGTGATCTCCGCCTCATTCAGGCCCCGGATCTCTGTCAACCGGTCCACCAGGCCCCCCGGGATCTGGCCCGCCGTGCCAGGGCGGGAGGTGACCCAGATGGAGACCTCCGGGAAGAGGTTGCCCCGGATGATGTTGGTGACAAGATGGTCCACCTGGAGCTCCTTCCTGGAGTCAGTGCAGGTCGCAGTGTCGGCGAAGTCTAGTGGGGCCCTGCATTCGTCCAGACCATCCAGGATGAGCAGGGTCCTGGACAGGGAGGGGACAGGGCCCAGCTCCCCGGCCTGCAGGAAGGCCAGGCGAGCCAGTCTGTCTGCGGACAGCTTGTCATGTGTGTTCAGGTCCCGGAAAGTCACGGGCAGCACCAGGGAGAAGTCCCTGCCCACCTGCCCCTGAGCCCAGAGGCGGACAAATTCCCTCACCAAAGTGGTCTTACCCACGCCAGCCACCCCAATGGTGACAGAGACGCGGGGTGGGATGGACACTCTCGACAGGGGTAGGAAGAGCCTGTCAAGGGGGAGGGGCCTGGCCACATGCCAGTGCCCGCGGGTGGCCTCCACCTGCGTGAAGTCATGTTCCTTGAGCTGCAGGTCCGTCAGGCCCTCCACCAGCTGCAGCCTGGCCCCGATGGCCCCTGGTTCCGGGCTGCTGCCCACCCTGCTCAGCAGGGCCTCGCGGTGCCTCTGGATCCTAGAGTCTGCAGGACGAGACCAGAGGGTGGGGCCGGGAAGCGAAGGGACAGGGCGGCCCCAGAGCGCCCACCCCTCCTCTGCCTACCATGACCGTGGGCCCGTGGTGCAGCATCTGGCGTCCTGCAGGGGGTCTGCGCGCCCTGACTGCCCTTCCCGGCCAGCAGGTCCATGAGAGCTTTCACCTGCACCGCTGGGGAGCTGGCACCGTGCCCCTGGCCAGCCTCCCCACCCGGCCACACCTCCTGCTTCCTCATGGAATCGATTGACGCCAGGAGCTGCAGGGAGAGGGTCTGAGCCGCATCCTGCCCAGGAACCTGGACAGGTAAGCGAATGTCCAGAAGGGACGGGAGGGCTCGTGGCTTCCGGATGGGAACTGTCCGGAGGCAGAGGACGAGGGGGTGCAAATCTGTCTGAAGTCTGAAGCAAATCTGTCTGAAGCCTGAGCACCCACCCCCGATCACCCATACTTACTGGCTGTGTGACAAGGGAAGGGCCGCCTGGGCTCTCTGTGCCACTGAGCCCTCATGGGTAATGTGGCAGGGACTGGGGCTTGCACGGGGTGGCTGTTCTGGAAGGCTGGCCTGCGACTCCGGCCCTGTGTTCTGGAAAAGCAAAACTGAGGAGGCAGCAGGGACACTGCCAGGGCTCTGGAGCGGGGGAGGAAGGATGAATGGGCGGAGTGCAGAGGCTTTTGTTTGGGGATCACACTGGCAGTGTCCGGGGCTTAACTCCCGGCTCTGTACTTGGGGATCACTTCGTGTGGGCACGGGGAACCCTGTGGGGTGCCAGTGCAGAGCTCTCCAGTCCAGGAACCTCCTCTGTGGGGTCCCGCAGCATGGGGAAGGATCGCGCTCCGGGAGGGAGGTTCACGCCTAGTAACAAAGGTGCCCTTAAAATGGGCTGCCCCTGTGAGGGCATGGATGGAGAAGGGGGGAACCCGGCACTTTTCTGTAAAGCTTAAACGGCTCCCTAAGTCCAGGTGGAGACATGCCCTACAGCTTTCACCCCTGCATCGCATGGTCCCCCGAGCACTGAGCCAGGAGTGGCCCCTGGGGCCTGCCTCATGTGGCGCCAGAACCGAGACAGACACCGAAACAATGACGTTACTAGGAAGAAAGGGCGGGCGTGTGCCCGGAGCAGGGTGCGGGGCTGCTCTGGGCCCGCTGCTCCGTTCCCTCTGCCCTCCTGCCCCGTGGGTCCCACCTTCCCTCTTGCCTTTGCTGCTGGGATGACTGGCCCCTGGCGCCATCGCTGGTGCTCCCTGTGTCTCAGTCCACAGGGAACCCGAGCTGTCCCGCCCCTCCTCACCTGCAGTGGGCAGGATGTCCTCCGGCTGGCCCCAGGCTCGTCAAGGCACTGGGGCGGCCATTCCTTGTCCATGGGCCTAGGAGAGAAAGGCTGTGACTAAGCAGGGTCCCAGCGGTGGACCGAAACTGTCTCCACCTTCCAGCCTCGCCAGTGCTCTCTGGTCAGTTGCTCACTTGAAGGGGTCCACTGGCCCCAGTCCCCAGTATCCTTCTTGCACCCGCTTGGCATGAACTGCTCTGCATAGAAAAGGTTCGGGGGAGGAGCTCGGGAGCCAGCAGAGAGCAGTGCCCGTTCTCGTGACAGGGCGGAGCTGGCCACATGTGACCCATCTTGGGTGGAGGGGTCCATTGCTCGGCTCATTGGTAACCTCAGTCGGGTGGGCAAGCGGCTACCTGATGTGGCCATTGGGAGCGGAGCTGCTGGGTTCGTGGGCTGTTTGCTCTGCTCCGCGTGTACGGGTCCTGTTACATGAACTCGATTCCTTCGCTTCTTCCATTCCTAGTTGGATGTTTTTTTTTTCTTCATGAAAGGGTGTTGAATTTTGTCTTTTTTTTTTCTTTTTGTGTCACATCCAGCGATGCACAGGGGTTACTCCTGGCTCTGCTCTCAGGAATTACTCCTGGTGGTGCTCAGGGGACCATATGGGATGCTGGGAATCGAACCCGGGTCGGCCGCGTGCAAGGCAAACGCCCTACCCGCTGTGCTTCGCTCCAGCTCCGAAGGGGTGTTGAATTTTGTCAAGTTCTTTTCCTATAGTGCTTGAGATGATCATACCATTTCCCTCCTTCATTCTGTTGATGGGGCATGATGGATTTTCTCCGTTGAACCAACCTTATATTCCAGAAACACATTCCACTTAGAGTTTCGTTGAGGGCTTCCATTACCGGTCATTAGGAATATTTCTTGGGCATTTTCTTGAGTCACGTGTGGCGTGACTCAGTGAATTCGAAAGCATGCTTCACAGTTTTTTGGAAAAGTTTGGGATGGCTTTGTATTGCTACCTCTCTTTTTTCTTGGGGTAGGGGTCTCCCAAGCAGTGCACAGGGGTCCAGGGACCCCTCCTGGCAATTATCAACCAACCAGGCCAGGTTCAGTGTGAGGGTTCAAGGATGTGGTCTGCTCTGACCCAGCAGTGCTGCCATCGCCTGGGACATGGGGAGCTCGGGGTCTCCAAATCTGCACTGGCAGTGCTCTGAGGTTGTGCAGTACCAGGAGGCAGGGGAAGGTGGCTGCTGGCAGGGCCTGACCCCATACTCTCTTCGCCCGCTCCCTGTCTCAGTGCTCGGTGAAAGTCTCAGTGATTCTGTCAAGGTCAGGGCTTACGTTGGGAGTTTCATTGAGTTTACATTTTGTGTTTTGGGGGTGACCCAGCTCGTGAGGCTTGGGATTCTCTTAGCGGTGCTCTGGTGACCCTGCAGAGTCGTGGCTCAGCTACACCAGCCCTCTGAGCTATCTCCCCACCCCGGACAGTCAGGTTTTGGGGAACTTTTTAAACAGACAAACTTTGTGCCTGGGTTTTTCTCGTTGTTCCTTTCCTCTGCTCTAGCCTTTGAGATAGCTAGCAGCGGCGGTTTCTAATGCCCAGGACCGTTGTGCGGCTCTGTCCTGTTCACGGGGCGGGGAGGCTTTGCCAGAAGTAGATGCAGGTTGGAGGTGCTGGGGCCCCACAGGAGGGCGGGGACAATGTATCTCCCCCTGGTGGGACATTCTCGGGAGCACTGAGTAGGGGGAGTTTGAGGCCACACCCAGCAGTGCTCAGGGGACTTTGTGGTGCTGGGGATTGACTGAGGTCACCCCCTGCCAGGCCTGGCCTATGGCCCAGATGCCAGCCGGGCAGGCCTGGGATGGGGGTGGGGCGCTGACCAGGGAAGGCCACGGGTCTGGTGTCTGAGCTGCGTGGCAGCTCTGTGTCCCTCAGGGCCTTGCTGGGAAACCAGGCTCCCTGGGGATTGTCAGAGACCCCATCCTGCTGCCTGGCCAGTTCTGCCTGATCTCTGAGACCTGGGTCCTGGTCCCTCCCATAGTGTCCACTCGGCCCCACCTGCTGTGCCTGGTGACCAGAGGGCACAGTCTCAGGCCTCAGGTTCCTGGACATCGCTGTTAGCCCCAGGACAGCTTCACAGAGGACGGGGGTGAGGCACCCCTGCCACAAGCCTGTCCTGAGGCACTGGGCCACCCCCTGGAGACACCTGGCTTCCTCCCCCCCACCCTGGAGCCTGTGGAGAGCCCTGATAGACAAAGTGTGTGTCCATCAAGGGGACTGAGCAGCCTAGTGTCAGGACAGACCCGGCAGGAGCAGGCACCTGCTTGGCTTGGGCGCTCGGCCCCCCTGTGAGTCTCCTGTGTTCCCACTCACCAAGCAGCTTCCCGGTTGTACCCTAGGGCCTCCTCCGCAGCGCCTCTGCACCCCGGCTCCTTCCTGCTCCCTCCTGCGCCACCACCACTGGGCCCTGAGAGCCACGGCTGGCCTTCCTGCAGCTGTCCCACCTTCCTCCCTGCCCAGCACTTACCTCCTGGGGTGCCTGGCCTGAGGGACTGAGGAGCTGTGTCCCGGGCCCCGGGCCCCAGCAGAGGTGGTAACGGGGAGGCCGGGAGGGGTCCTGGGAACCGGTGGTGGGTCCGGGCCTAGTGTGCAGCGGGACCTGGCCTGCCAGCCCTGTGGTCCCTGAGCCGACCCTGGCTCTCATGGCCCTGGGGCTCCTCACCTCTTCCTGTGCCGCTGCACCTCAGCCCTCCTTCCTGTCTGAGTCAAAAGCCAACAGTCTTGCAGACAGAGCAGTGAGCCGCGGCCACAGCTGCTCCGTCACCGCTCTGCAAGGGAGGCGGAGGGGCCCCAGTATCCACCCAGGGAGCCAGCAAGCACCCCCAGACCTGGTGCTCAGACGGAGCAGCCCAGCCCAAGCCACGGCCACTGTAGCATCTGTCATGGTCCCCAGAAGTGCCAGGGCCTGGGGATTGTTGGCACCAGGATGTGCTCACTCTTGGCAGGTGTTCTTGGGGGCGGGGGCCTGCCATTGTGTCCCTGACTGGAAGCTGTGTACCACTCGTGGTACCCTTCTGCCCAGTGATGTGTGTCTGTGCCTAGAATGTCCAGGCATCGGACAGTGATGTCCAGGAGACGGGTCTGACACTGTGTGGAGCAGGAGCACTGATGTGGGGCCAGAGAGGAGGTGACCTGGGAGGGTGCAGGCGGGTCCCTGAATTGGGAGCTGCAGGGGTGATGGGGGACCCTTTGCCCCCTGTGGCCCCTCAGTGCACCCTGAGCACCCCGCTGTGTGCCAGGCATCAGGGTGTACACAGAGGGTGAGGCCCAGGCCGGCAGGGCCCCATCTTTGGCCTTCTTGGCGCAGGGAGATGATCTGGAGAGCGTGAGGGAAACTGCCTGCTCTGGGGGGTGTTGGCTGTCCCAGAGACCCCCGCTCGCAGGACCCAACCTTGGACTGCTCCTACCCCCACTCCGCCTTTCCTTTCTGTCTGGCATGGCCTTGACCCTCCCTGACTTGACCCTGAGGCTTCCTCCTGACAGGCTGGGCCTCTGGGGGTGTTGCCAGGCTGGGTTGGGGGAAATGGCACTGCTGGGGGTTCTGGTCCCATCACAGCCCGGCTGTCACGGTCCTGCTAATCCAAACGTACTAGTGACTGTTTCATGGCCCCTGGGTGCTTACCATGGCAGGGCGGAGTTGCTGGAAGACCCCAGCGGGGATCCCTGCACCACTGCCTGGCAGACATCAGCCCTTTGGCTGGACCTGAATTGGGTCTGATTTCTAGGTACCTGTCCTGTTCTAGTTCTGTTCTGGTACCTGGTTGTCAGGATAGGCTGTTGCAATGACTACTTTTGTGTTTGGGCCACACCCAGCGGTGCTCAGGGGTCACTTCTGGCAGAGCACAGGACCCAGGTTGTTCTTCCACACAGTAAGCGCCTCAGCCTGTGTTGTCTCTGGCCCTGCAAAGGCTCACATCCCTGGCTTGCTGCTGGCCTTCTGGGTTGCTGGGAGCCTGCCTGATCCCACCTGCCAAGGCTCCTCACTTTCTCCTGGCAGGGACCTTAACCTCTTTGCAGCCCCAACAACCCCCGTCTTGCGGGAGGCTGCCCGCGTGGACACCTGTGCAGGTGAGGGCCCCAGGCCTCACCCAGAGGTCACTCTACCATGAGCCTGTGGGAACAGCAATATCCCAGGGGGCTTAGGTCATCCCTGGGGATTATACTGGGAGGGGATCAACTCCTTCTGATAGCAAATGTGGGGCTACTTTAAAACTGGCCAGGTGCCACCTTCAGGCTGGTCGAAGTGCCATCCATCTTGGCGGTATGATGTGTCTGTTGTAGGAATCATGCTAGGGGCCGCCACGTCACCCCCCCAAACGCGGTGTGCTCCTGAGGCCCCACTTGTGAGCTCGGGCTCTCATGGCCCATCTGTCCAGCTTCCACATGCCCCACCATACCCAGGTAGTCGTGGGCACCCAGCATGGGTGCAAGAGAGCTGGGGATGAAAGTTGGATGGTGTCTGGGGTACCCGAGAGCAGGGCAGGGCAGGGAAGGCCAAGCTGAGAGTAGGACCTGGCCAGTTGGAAGCTTTTTTATTGCAGGATACAGAACAGACAAGGATACACCAAAACAGAGACCTGCCCTGCGCATGCACCTCTGGGCCTCCGAGCCATGGGTGGCCGGACCGTGGAGCACCCGGGGCCCTCAGCCTGCCCGTCCATCTCAGGACAGGCACTCAGATGGCTGAGACACCAATTGGGAGTGGGCCCAGTGGACGACATGCCCCACACAGCCTGAGATCTATCCTGGAAGCGTGGCTTCCCACGGCGCACAGAGCCTCAGGGGCTGCCGGAGGCCAGGGGTGCGGATGGGGCAGGGGGCCTCTTGCCTCTGCGCCCCTTGCTCTTGCTCCCAGGCCGCTGCCCCTTCCGCCTGATCTTCTCCTTGCGGGCCGCAGCCGTGGTGAAGGTGATGCAGTGGGCGTCCAGAAAGTCCAGCAGCTTTCCTGCGGCCACCCGGACACCGTGCTCCTTGAGCTGGGCCTGCAGCTCTGCCAACTCCAGGGGCTGGTACTGCAGCACCTTGCGGTAGAGGGCTGGCCGGGAGCGGATGAAGTGGCTCACGGCCGTCTCCATGGCCGCCGTCTGCACAGCCACCTGCGACGCGCTGACTTCGTCCTCGCCTTCCTCCTCTTCTCCTGCAGACTCGAAGGTGGTGCCAAACTCCCAGGAGGAACTGGAAGGCAGATCAGACACTTAGCCCCCTCTTCGCCCAAGACCCTGCAGCAGGAAGCTCTGGCTGCTGTCCCCAGCTCGCTAGGCTTGTGTGTGGCCTGAACACGTGGCCCTTGGCCAAAACGCGGTGACGGTGCTGACAGGAGCAGCCTGAGTTTCCTGTGGGGCGGCCTGGAGGAAACCCCGCTTCTCCGGAGCTCAACCTGGCCCCAGGCCTCCAGCTTTACCTGTGTGAGCTAAAGGAGGTGTCACTGCTGCCCACAGAGGTGGCTGCGGACTCCTGCGAAGCTGGGAGCTGGGCATCACCGTCAGGGTCTGGGAAGGTACTGAGAGGGACAATGTCCCCCCCGGGCTGCTGCCATCTTGGACTTTGGGGGCCCTGGGGCCTTTGGGGAGTGAGCCCCATGGTAGCCTCTGGCTGGACATTGCCAGCTGCCCCCAAAGCCTCAGAGGCTACAGTGGCGCAGGCCCGGCTGCTCGGTGCCTCCAGGGGTGACTGTGGCAGCTGGCCGCTGCTGTCCGAGTCCGACTCCAGCGTCTGGTGGGTGTACTGGAAGATCTCCTTCAGCTTCAGAACCATCTGGCGCTTGGGCAGAGGGCGGACCCCAAACCTGAACGGGGAAGCAGGTGAGTTAAGGGACAGAAAAGCAGGCTTCGTGGCCTCTCACGAGGCAGGGCTCACCCTGAAGAGCACCCCCAAAGGGCCGTCCCTGTGCTCTGGGCGCCGGCACCAGCTACTGATGACTTCCGGGGCCAGACGGCACAGGGGAGGCAGCTCTGTGGCAGAGCAAGGCCTGAGTGATCCCAGGGGTGGTCCTGAAGGGTGGGTGAGTCCGACAGGCACAGTCCCCTTCCCGGCCATGGGCAGCCACAGGCACATCCTTCTTGGCTTCCGGGCCTGGGCAGTTTGGGGGACAATACCCAGGACAGTTCACCTGCCTCTGCCCCGAACCTGTTGGGGCTGTGAGGGTGACACCAACCTGTCCAGCTCCTTCTTCAGCACTGGGGTCTCCATGATGGAATATCTTGGCATGGGGGTTATGGGGACTTTCGGGGGCAAGTTCTTCTGATTAGCACCTTCTGAGTAAACAGGAGAAAGATCCCAGCCTCATCTTCCCGGTTTCTGCCACAAGAGAAATGCTGCACCAGGAGCCGCCAGCCCTGCCTCGTACCCGGTACTTCCGCCACCCCAGGCACCAGGGCCCTTTGCAGCGGCCTGGACGCCAGGACTTACTCGTCCAGCAAAGGCACCAGTGCAAAAGGCCACGTGAGGCTTGGCGTATAGGAGCCCGGGCTGCCATCCTTGGAGCCTCATGGCTCCCCACCCCAGTCCTACCAAGAGCGATCTAAGCATCTCTGGGTGTGGCCCCAGAAGAACAAAACTAGTAGCCCCCCCCCCCAATCGGCAGAGAATCTGGTAGCCATTTCTTGGTGGGGGGGGGGGGGGGATATGAACAAATGGCCAATAATCAACTCATGGAAACATACTCAGTGTTCTTTTCTGCCAGGAAACCCAGAGATCTGACTTCACACCCGCTGGGCGACTCCAGCCAGCAGCCAAGTGTGGGGGCCAGCAGGGAGCCAGGCCTACGGGCATAGCTGGCTACATGTCCTGCTGAGTTCGGCTGAAAGCTGACTCTCCCTCCACTGTGCAGAAAGATCGAGAAGGCAAGGGAGGGCCTTGCAGGGGGCCTGTGGGCCCTGGACACCCAAGCCCATTTTCCTGACTGATCCCCTTTGGGGCCCCCCTGCCCGCCACTACCCACTTGGCGTCTGGAATCCTCTGGATCTCTGGGCCCTGTTGGCGCTGGGGTTCCGAGTCGGGGTCCCAGCCAGAACTGGAAGCTCCGCAGATTTCTGCTCTTCGCCATCCCAGTCATCCCAGAGAGAGGAGTTCAGGAAGCTCAGCCTGCTGCTCCCCGGGGAGCCCCTCGGGCCGGAGCAGCTGCCCCGGATGGGGGTGGTGCTGAGCTGAGCCGGAGAGCAGCCTGCCACGCTGTCCGGGGCTGCCCTGGCCCTGCCATCGGGACTGCTGGCACTCAGGGGTCCCGTGCGCTCCAGGTTCAGATCGTCGATGGGGATGGGCGAGAGGGGCTCCGTGTTCCAGCAGCAGTCAGGGGGCAGGGGAGGATCCCCGTCCAGCAGGGGGCTGCTGCGGGCCTGGTGGGCAGCCCCCGCCTCCTCCTCCTCACTGTCCTCAACTTCCACCACTTCACTGGCCATCCCTGTGGGGCTGCATTTGGGGGATTGGAAGTGTGGGGGCAGGTCAGGGCGGTGCCAGGAGTCTGGGTGGGGTGATGCGGGGGAGCAGCGGGGGAGGGGGCGGCCTGTACTTCTGGGGACCTGCCGTTGGCTCTCAGGGCTTCCTGGGGTGACTGGGCAGTGATGTGCTGGCGACCGTGCCTGGTGCACCATCTCCGGCGATTTCTTCATGGCCTTGGGCCTGACCCTCTCTTGTACCGGAGCCCTGGGCTGGGCCACTGGCTCCGTCAACGTCCTGGACCCATGGCCCGAGATCTGGGTCTGGGAGGAGTGGTCACGGCTGGCGCTGGCCAGCGGGGTGGCGGGCACCAGCCACGAGGACTCCCTGTCAGTCTCAGGGCTGCTCTCAGGGGGGTCGTGGAAGAGCGGCGGCGTGCCTCTGTCCCTCCACGGGTCCTCCTGTGGGGGCTCCGTCTCTCTGGCAGGTGAGGTCTGGGCGCCTTCCGGGTCAGCGTCCACGTCAATGATGGAGAACAGCTCGCAGGACTTGGGGCTGGATTCTAGAAGTCTCCTTCCTTCTGACTTGAGTTTGGTTTGCTCTAGCTCCAGCTCTTCGTCGGAGTCCAGCAGGAGGATCACTTCAGCGTCTCTGCTCGCAGGGGACGGAGAACCCTGTGGCCCGGGGCTGGCCTTCGACTGGGTCAGGTCAATGGAGGGAGACTGTTCCGGGGAGAGGGAGACGGGGCGTTGCCGGCCTTTCTCACGCGCTGGCCCTTCAGGTGGTGTGAGGTCACCCCTGTGCCTCTCCTGCTGGGATGGTGAGTTCTGGGCGGGTGCCCCAGAAGCACCCCTCTGTGATGAGGGTGCCAGAGGGGATGAGTCACCGCCAAGAGGAGAGGGCTGTGGCAGGAGGCAGGGGGACTCTGGGGGTGCCTGCTTGCAGGGCGCCCCGTCCCCGGCTCTGCTGTGTTCTGCCTCAGGTTGTCCGGGGTCTCCTGGCACTGAGAAAGGGTGCTCCCTGGGGGTGGGCCGGGAGCCCCCCACAGGGCTCATGGGGCCGCGGGGACTGAGTTCTTCCTTTGGGACCTTGCCCCTTGCTCTCTCGGGGGACTCCGCGGGCTCTGGAAGCAAGACCCGGTCCCGACTGTGCTCCCTCGCTGGCGCCCCATCCTTGGCTTCCATGGCAGCTCCCTCCCGGAGCAGCTTCCGCTGAGTAGCTGCAAATTCATAAATCTCGTCCATGTCGGCATCATCCACGTTTTCTCTGTCCTCCTCTCGGGCCTCAGGTTCTGCCACGTCCTCGGTGTCTTCCTCCTCCCCGGCCCACATGGACCTCAGCAGCTCCTGGAAGTTCTCGGCCCGCCTGGCGCGGCCCTCCTGCTCCTCCTGCTGCTCGCCCTCGGCGTCGGCCACAGCGGGGACTCCTGGGCACAGGGGTAGCAGCTCACGCACGCCGAACCTGCAAGGGGAAATGCGTCACCAACACCGTCTGCGAGGTGCCGGGTATGCAGGTGGGGGCACTGGGACCCTGTCCTGGCCTTTCCCATCCTGTTCACGAGCGCTGAGACTAGGGGTGCACGCCCTCCCAGCTGCGGCTGCTGCCTGGGGGCTGGCGTGTCACACCTGGATAAAGCAGGGTTTCAGGCCACAAGTCCTTTCCTTTGCGGGCAGAACTCCTTTTCTGCAAAGCTGAGCTGCCTGTCACCCTTTTAAAGTTGGGGGCCACACATGAGGCTGAGTCTCCCCGATCCTGTGCCTGGGAAGTGCTGCTCTCAGCTCTCCTGGCAGGTGTTAGGGGCTGAGGCTGACCAGGGAGCTAAGAGCCCGTGGCTGATATCCTGGTCCAACTGATAGGCCTGGTCCAAGGGCCTCACTGGCTGTAATTTGGGATTAAAAGGTCTCAGCCCTGAGCCGCCCACGAGTGGCCAGCCTGTCTGCTCATCCTTAGCTGATTCTACAGGCTGTGAAGTGAGGCCTGACCTGTGCGCCAGGGAGCTCAGGTCAGCAGCCACCTCGGGGACCGGGCCAGCATCAGCAGCATAGAGGTAGTGCAGGAATGTCAGGGTGGCCTCTGTGCTGACGTCACTCAGCAGCACACGCTGGACTCTCAGATCACCATCCTCCATGGCCAGGAAGCCTTCTCTGTTTACCTGCGGGGAAGAGAAAATGCAGGAGGCTGCCGGCAGAGCCTGATGGTCCAGGGGTGCAGAGTGCGGCCCCCGAACGGCTCCCAGCCCAGGATCTTCCTGGCTCTGCACTCGGGGATCGCTCCTGGTGGTATTCAGGACCACGTGGCATGTCAGGGATTGAATCTGCGTTGGCCGTGTGCAAGGCAAGTGTCCTCCTGGCTGTATTGCTCTGGGCCTCTGGGGGAGAACTTTTATTCATCGGAACAAGATTTCAGAGATCTTTCCCCATCCCGAGGTCTCCTCACCATGTCCCAAACTTCAGTGTGTCTTCTTTTTTTTTTGGGGGGGGGAGGGGTCACACCCAGCGATGCACAGGGTCTGCACTCAGGAATTACTCCTGGTGGTGCTCGTAAGGCCATATGGGATGCTGGGAATTGAACCCGGAGCAGCCGCGTGCAAGGCAAATGCCCTACCCACTGTGATCCACCCCCTCAGTGTGTCTTCTTGAGGGAAGTTTAATACCGATGGCGATGCAGGCGGGGAACTGGGGGCGAGGGCTGCAGGGGTGCCCCGCACTCACGTATTGCATGAGAACTGGGCAGCGAGCATAGAGCACAAACTGGTGGGCGTAGAGCACATCCCCGTTGTCCATCTGGAACTGCACATCACTCAGGTGGGGGTTGTTGACCATGGCTCTGAAGTCAGCCAGCAGCCGGCCCAGGGTGTCCTGTGAGAGGGTCAGAAGTGTGAAGAACTCTCCAGAAGGCTCAGCTATGGGCAGGCTCATGTGAAACAAGTGGTAAACCTGGCCACTCTCTGACCAGCTTTGGGGCCCAGAACTTAAAGCAACTCCTGGGAGAAGTGTCCCCCAGTGCTATTGCTCCACCACGTGACAAAAGAGAACCCCAAAAATCACGGCTCAGGGCCAGCCTGGAGCGTTCCCAGAGCCACGGTGCCCAGCGCGCCGGTGTGGATTTGCCAATGCTGAGGACCCAAGTTCCACCCTCTCCTGTCAGCAACCCAGAGCACAAGCTGCAGGTGGGAGGGTGGCCCGGCCCCGCAGCGAGGCCTCAGCGAGTGAACCTTCCAGAACCAAGCCCAGGTCACAGATGCTGAACGAGGCCACCCAGTGGGGATCCAGGGCTGAGCCCAATGGCAGAAGGGCAGAGCCAGGCGCACCTCGGGGACATCTTACCACAGCTCGGCCATCCTGGTCCAGGGGCTCTGCAGACGGCAGGACAAACCCAGTGAGCGGAAGGCGGCCTGAAGCCCAGTGCTCCCCTGAAGAAAGGGTCACAGGTGACACTCACCCCACAATGCTCACCCCCAGAAACGCGCCCCGGCAGGCTCTCCCATATCAGCCACCCTGCCCCCTTTGTGGGACAGACGGTGAGACAGCCGCCCACATGGTCGGGAGCCCATGAACGTCACACGTGCAACCATGCCCACCTGTGGCCCCTCCGGAGCTGGCAGGGCGCCCGCTGCAGGGCCCCTGGCTGCTGCCCAGCCCCTCTCTCGCCAGCTCCACGAGGTCCTGCAGGGCCTGTTGTTCCCTCTGGCTGGCAGATGGGGACGGAGTCTCTGCAGGGTGGGAGCTCGAGGGCCACGGAGGCGTGGAAGCCTGAGGGGGTGGGAAAACAGAGTGACTGTGGTAAGAGGGCCATTCCCAGGCCAAAAAGCTCTAGGCCATGCCCTGTCACCACTGGGCCAGGCTGCTCTGCTCAAGGTGAGGGCTGTCGCATCCGAGCTCCAGGGGGACCCCGAGTTCCCACACGGGCCCCGGGACCCCAGAACCGACATAGGGGAGCTCATCACAGCTGTAAGGATGTGTGCACTGTCTTGATGCGTCCCTCCATCCCGAACTTTCTGCCCGCCCAAAGACGCAGGATGGCACACCTGGGCAGGCCGCTGGGGCCTCAGGTACGGGTAGAGGCGGGCCGAGTAGTAGTCATCGGGGGGCCAGCCCTGGGCCAGCGCGCTGCCCTCCCACAGGAAGTTGGTCTTCCCTGCGGGCGGCTGCAGACACCAGCTGGCAGTGCCCCGCTCCCCCAGAATCCTGCTGGTAGGCAGCGGAGGCGTGCTGGCCACCTCCGCCTCCTCCGCCAGGAGCTGGCCCACGCGGTCCTCGAGCTGCCGGCCTGTGGTCTCCGGGTCCTGCACCAGCAGCCGGGGCGGGGACACAGGGCCTTTCTTCTTGCGACCCCTCTTCTCTAGGGTGGACAGAAGCCAGAGCTCAGGGCTGGCACTGCTGGCCCAGGACTGCCCGCGGGCACCTTCAGCTGGCGGCTGGGGCGGGGCACCTACCCAGCCTGGTCCCCAAGGCAGTGCCTCCCAGTCTGAACACAGCAGGCACGGTTTCCTGCTCCATCTCGGAGCGCGACAGCGCCATAGCCACCAGCAGGTCCTCGGATGGGGGTTCGTGTCCGACCTTCCGTCTCTTGCGTGGCTCCTTGCTGGGAGCTCCCTTCCGCTTCAGACCTTCCTCGTGACTGCTGCAGCTCAAAGAGCATCCAAATTTGGGGGGGCAAGGAAGAGGGGGTGCACGGGGAGCTGTCCGGCCCGCATCCCTGCTTCCCCCACTCCGCCTGCTGCCCTGGCGGCCTCCTGGGTCTGGGGCTCCATCTGAGGAGGCAGCTGAGAGCTCCTGCACCCCCTCTCTGTGGCGTCAGCACGGGGGCCCCCGCTTGCCAGGCCTGGGCACCTCTGCTGTCACTGGCTGCAGGCCACAAGGTGCCGTATGGGCTTGGAGAGTCCCTCAAGGACTTCCTGGCCACAGAGAACTGAGATATGCTGGTGTCCCTCAGCAGGGCAGGACAGAGCCCGCCAGGCCAGGGTGAAGCTGTGTTTGCCAGTTTCAATGCCCCTTCTGACCAAGCCCAGTATCACCCGGGCCAAGTGCCCTGGGCTGAGCCCATCCCCGCCCTGTTTTCTACTCTCAGCACCTTCCAAGACGCCCCACATCCAGCTCCTTCCTGGAGCAATGAAATGCAGGGATGCTGCATCTGAGGGTCGGGGGAGTCCTGCCCAAAAAGCAGCGGCTGAGGTGGTATCTGCACACAGCTAGGCCCCAACTCAACTGTGCCGGAGCGGATGAGAGGAGGCTTCCCGCGAAGGCTCGGGCCCCACTGAGCCCTCCGGCTTTCCCTTCGCTCCTCAGCTATCCCAGCAAAGAAGTCCCAGTCAGAGCTCGAGAAGCAGCATGAGGTCAGACCTTGCCTGCTGCCAACCAGTTTGATCCCCAGCACTGCAGGGTCCTTGAGCACTGCTGGTGCCGCCAGTTTCCCCCTGCTCCGCCTCCACACACACAGAACCCCCAAACCTCCAGAAATCCAGGCTCACACAGCCTCCATTCTTGTCAAGTTGGGCCAACTCTGGCAGGACCAAGGTGGAGGGAAGCTGCCTCACTGCCCTGCTGTGAGGGTCTCCTGCAGTAACCAGCTCACTCCCCACACTGAAGGAGCGGGGCATGGAACTGTCACTCACTCTGAAGGGGCGGGACAAGGACCTGTCACTCACAATGAAGGGGCGGGGCACAGACCTGTCACTCACACTGACAAGGAGGCCCTCCAACTTGTTGCACATTCAGTGCTGCCCTCACCGAGTGACCACATGCCAATGTCAAGCAGTAGACAAGACCAAGGCCACCATGCCAGGTCACACACATAGAAGGCAACAGGAATGACCACGAAAATCTTAGGCCTCAAGGAAACCAGCCTAACTGTTCCTTCTCCAGTTGTCCAGCGTGGACCATACCAGAGCCTGGACGTACCTTCCCTGCCCCCCAGGAGATAGCCATGCCTCCTAGGTCTCAGCCCAGCCAGGTAGCAGCACCCTCGCAGTGGCAGTTCCCAGGCAGCCTGCGACTTACCTGCAGGCCAGGGTCTCCGGGACATGGGTGCCCTCAGGCTGTGCTGCCTGCCTCCGCACGGCCTGGAGCAGCAGCTGCGGGCCCACCTCCATCTTCACTGCGCACTGCTTCAGGTGGCTGAGTCGGCTCTTGGGAGTGAAGCAGGGTTTGCCACAGATGGGACATTCGGGGACGGGAGGCGCCGAAGGTATCACAACCTTCTCAGCCTCGTCCAGGCACCTGGAGGAAAGACGCTGCAGACAGGCCCCGCACTGGACATGCCGGGGCTCCCATGGATGTGCAGGGGCCGGGCCTCTCACCTGTTCACGTGCTGCTCCCTGTGCACCACGCTCATGGTGGACAGGTTCTTCTGGCAGATCTGGCAGCAGAATAGCTCCCTGTTCTCCTGGCTGCCGCTGTGGTGGGCTGTCTGCTCCTGCCCCAGCTCCTGCTGCGGGGCGCAGGCCACCGCACTATTGCTGTCCGCGGCAGGAAGCCTGGAGTCTGGGGAGAGGCACAGCGCCCATGAGGACACACCCCGGACCAGGGACTGGGTGTAGGGCCGGAGTGGGGTGCCCCACGGGCTCCAGGGAGCATTCAGTACAGGGGGAGGCTCTGTGTCCCCGTGGGCTCAGAGAGGTCAGTGCTGGTGTCAGGTCCACACTAAAAGTCAAGGTCAGGGCCTTCCCAGTTCTGCTCAAGTCAGCCTCCCTGGGCATTCCAGGGTTACAAGCTCCCAGATTACAAGACTTTTGAATTCAAAATTGAATGAAAGGGGCTGGAGCGACAGTACAGCACGCAGGACATGTGCCTTGCACATGGACGACCCAGGTTCGATCCCAGGAGTGATCCCTGAGCAGCACTGAGTGTGACCCCCAAACAAAAACAATGAAAAAAAAAAAAGCCAGATACCTGGTGAAGGAAGCTAAGTGAGAAATGACCTTGCTTTATCTTCAGACAATGGTCATGTTCAAGGAGCGAGCCCATGCACAGGAAGCTCCCCTCCTGCTCCTGCCACCCCGGTGCAAGCCCTGAGACCCTCCTGGCCTACCAGGCACTGCTGTGGGCTCCTCGCCAGGCTGCTCCGGGATGTCCTCTTCAGGGGTGGCCTCCTGAGAGCCCCTGTTGGAGGCATGTCTCAGGCGCTTTGGGTGCGCTCTCTTGAACTGTTGCATGCGCCGTACAACCAGCTCGGCTGCGCGGGGCTTGGGGGAACTTGGCAACAGCTCCCTTGGACAAGGAGGGTGCTGGGCGTCACAGCTGGGAACGCCATCTGGCAGAGAGGAACGGAGCGTCAGGCAAGGAGGCAAGGCTTGCCCACCGGGTCATGTTTCAAAGTGCCCAGTCAACTAGGGTCAGCACTCAAGTGAGCACAGATAAATCCACCTCACAGGAACATCTGCCTAGGGGCTAGAGGTGATGGCCGTGCAACTGTGAGAATGCTGACAGCCGCTCACGGAGCCCTTGGGAAGGCGACCGACTAATGCCCGTCCTCTCTGCAGCCAGCAGTCTCACACGGACGCTTTCTTGTCATCACTTCACAGATGGCCTGGGCGGAGCCCGGGGATGTCAGTCTCCCAGGTGGATGGGGTGCGGTTTTCTGGGGGGAGTCATGCGTAGCCTTCCTGAGATTCACACAGGAACACGAGGGGCTGGTAAACGGGTAGCAGCCCTGAAGCCTCCCGGGCTCCGCACAGCTGAGCTGACCACACTGGAGACAGGTGCTGAAGGGCAGGAAGTGACATAGCTGTGTGCGCACGAGTGTGGCCATGCAGCCGTGTGTGCGAGAGTGTGGCTATGTAGCTGTGTGCGCGAGTGTGGCCGTGCAGTCTACATGTGCCGGCAGTGAGAGGAAAGGGTGAGCATGGGGGAAGAGGGAGGGGTTGGGCTGGAAAAAATATGAAAGGTCACAGCTGCTTTAGGGAAACAGGAAAAGGACGAAAGGGGCTTTGATGGGGGAAAGAAAAGACCTCCTGGGAACCACCTCCCGAGGTGCCTGCGCCCCACACTGTCACTCAGCAGCCTAGGCATGGCGCCAGTCTCCAGGGCCGAGCCGTGCCCAGACACCACACCCCCACCCAGTCTACTAGCTGGCCCTTTCCTGAAAGATTTCTGACCCCGGTTTACCGTGGTGCGGCCCCATTACCTGCTGGTGTGTTTCTGCATTTCGGAGGTGCAGCAGAAGCACATGCATCTCGGTCCCCACTTTCGGGTGGACCCGGTGGATCAATCTCCAGGGCCGCCCTTGGCTTTCTCCTCCGGGCCGCCTGGCTGCTGGGGAGCGCCTTATTTGCAGTCCGTCTGGCCCTTGGCGCCTTGCTCCTCGGTTCGCTGCTGTCCGTGCCCCTCTGTGCCTTCCTTCCCCCAGCCGTGTCCTTGGCGGTCTTTTTCACCCTTTGGAAAAAGCTGGCGCAGAGTTCCTTGAAATCCTCATCTGACTCGTCCATCCTGGGACGGCTTCGGGGGCAGGGTGGGCCTGGGCATGTGCGGGGGAGGGAGGGAGAGGGGCGGGGGGCAGGAGGGGGCGCGCGTAAGGGGGCACTCAGTTCCCGGGTGGGGGGGGGTCCTATTTCTTGCTTAGGAGTCTTCTGAGTTTGCATTCCTGAGCAAACCACCTAAAGGGTCTTTTCACACGGAGCATGTTTGAAGCTTCTGCTAACGTTCACGTTGGGGAGGCCTCCCTGGCCAGTGCTGCCTTGGAGAGAGACACGTAAACTCGGTGCTGGGTGGTTCTCCAAGATCCCCGGGGGCAGAAGCGTGCTTGGTTCGCTTAACTCACACCTGTGTCCACACTCGCTAGTCAGGCGTCATTCCTTTCTGACATTTCCTCCAGGAAGGAACAAGAACCTGAGGGGAATGGCCAAAGTCGCTCTCAATATGCGGACATCCTGCCAGCCGACAGCACACAGCACAAGATGGGAGAGGACAGAAAACTGCAACGCAGACAGAAAACGTTCCATCCAGAAAAATCCTGTTCATACTGAAATCTGGGTAATGATGCCCTCATCAAGGGCAGTCTCCAGAATCAAGATCTCTCCTCCTCTATTTTAGGGGGCCACATCAGTGATGCTCAGGGGTCACTCCTGCCTCTGCACTCAGGAGCCACTCCTGGTAGTGCTGGGGGGAGACCAGATGGGATGCTGGGGATCGAACCCAGGATGGTAGCATGCAAGACAAGCACCCTATCCACTGTACTATTGCTCTGGTCCCCACAAGAGAGACCCTGAATCCAAAAACCTCTCAGGTCTATGCTGGTGTAGGGCCTCTAGCGATCAGAGACTATCCACAGGTACTGGGGAGAGTAGCAGGGAGGGCAGAGAGCTAGAGGGAGGATGGAGAGGAAGGTGTGTGAAGCAGGGAGTGTAGCAGTTCGCACCAAAACTCAGCTTTTCCAAAGCAAAGAGGGTCCTTTTCCTCCGTCCCCTCAGCCCAGCCAGACGGAACCTCCACACGACCGTCACCAGAACGTGGCTCATTCACAAAGTCTGGCCTATGCATGTGGTTAGGTGTGTTGGCAGAGTCTGCCCTCAAGGCGGAAGTCCAGTTTCATACAAAAACACACCACCCAACTGCCCTGTTTCCCAGTGTGGGGCAGATTCAAAGGCTTCAAATCTAATTTGCATGGCTACAAACTTCTCCATTTCCGGGCTACCTCCTTAAAGATGCAAACTTCATCCTTTAAGTGGACCCTCTCTACCACCATTATTTTCTGTCAACACCTGTTCATAATGGCTTTTTTTTTTTTTTTTGCTTTTTGGGTCACACCCAGCAACGCTCAGGGGTTACTCCTGGCTCATGCACTCAGGAATTGCTCCTGGCAGCGCTCGGAGGACCATATGGGATGCTGGGAATCGAACCTGTGTTGGCCATGTTGGCTGCGTGCAAGGCCAAGCCCTACCCGCTGTGCTATCACTCCAGCCCCTTCATAATGGCTTTTATCATAAGTCATGATCATATGTTATTGTAACATCTGCTAAACAACTGCATGCCAGGCCCAAGTGCTTTACAAATCTCTAACCCTCACACAATCTTGTACAACACAGTATGTATGGTCATCTTGCCTTTACAAGCTGGGCACAAGGACGAGGGAGAACGGGCTCCAACTCACACTCTGTGCCATACTGAGCAGTGCTCAGGGGATCCCGCCGGTGCTGGGAATTGAACCTGGGCCTCCCGCATACCATCTTTCTTGCCATCAGTTTTTCAAGGGGCTGGACTGGGATCAAGTCTAGGCAAGTCAGCTCCCGGGTAGGATTCTTGGGAGTTGGGGACAGCGCTTATGGTAGAGAATATGCCTTCTCTGCAGTGAGGCCCCAGGTTTGGTCCCTGGGACTAAACAAAACAGCATAAACTCAGATTTCTGTTCGTTTTCTGTGCTGGCTGTACTAAGTTCAAGACTTCAGGGCTCAGACTCCTCTACTTCACTTTTCAAGTCTCTGGAAGATAAGGTTGGCTTTGCAGCAAGTGCTCGGTAATCCGCTACCGAATTTGTTAGCTGCAAAGATTTTGGTAATACAGGAAGACCGTGGTGGTGGGAGGGCTGCGGTGCCAAGCAGCAACGGTGTTGGGGGTCCCTGGAACGTGGGGCTAAAGAAACAGAATTTAACCCCAGGACGTGGGGTATACCCACCCTCGTCTCGTCTGACACTCGTCTTAAAAAAGAACCACTCGTGGGCCGGGAGGGCAGGCGCGCTGGCATTGCACAGCAGGCACCCCCCGCACCGCCAGGAGTGACCCCCGCGCGCAGAGCCCCGCGCAACCCCGAGAACAGCCGGGTGTGGCCCCCAAGCAAAAAGGAAACACAGAAAGCGCCGCTCCTCCCGCGCCGTCAGTTGGCAGAGCGCTGGGGTCGTTGCCGGCCGCGCAACGACGGAGCTCCCGGTCCCCGGCCCGGGCCGGCCCCCCGGGACTCGGGCCAGTCCCGATCGCCAGCCTGACCCCCGGCTGCGGACCCCGGGGGACCACGACGACTCGCCTTCTGACGGCCGGGGCCCTCCCACCCGAGCGCGGCCGGCGGCGGGGGCGCGCGGCGCTCCTCGCCGAGACGGCGCGGCCGCAGCTCCGGGCCCGGCCCGGCCCCTCCTACCTGCGGCGCCGCCACGGCTCCAGCTCAACCGACAGGCGCGCGCCTGCGCGGCGGCGGGCTCGCGCCACGTCTCTGCGCAGGCGCACGGCGGCCCGCGCCTCTCTTCCCGTCCTGCACCGCGGCCCGCGGGCGCGCGACCACGAGCGTTTCCGGGCGGCGTGCGGCGCCCTGTCGGGGCTTGAGGTCGAGGCGGGCGCGGCCTCAGGAAGCGGGAGGCCGGGGGCGGCGCCGGCCGTCGTGTCGGGGCGTCAGCGAGGCGGGGCGCGCCCGTGAGCACCAACCCGCTCGGTGTTAGGAGCCGCGGCCGGTAGAGACGCGGCGCCGGCCCCCCAGTAGGGCCCTCGGGCATGGTTTGCGCAATCGGTTGTTCGTCTTGGCTTCGGGGCCACATCTGGTGGCGCTCGGGGCCCAAAGCCGCGTCGGCCGCGTGCAAGGCCAGCCCCGAGCTCCCGTCCATCCGGCTTGGTCGTGTGGCCACGCCGGCCTCTAGTGGAGCCGCGCGACGCCTCTCCGGGGGGGACGCCTGGCGCGATGGCGCGGCCTTGGCCGAGCACCTCCCAGGAGCGACTGCAGCGTCGCCGTGACGGCGCACCCTGTCCTGTGCCGCAGCCCTTCCGGCTGCGGTGAATCTCGCCGCCGCTAACTTCCACCTTCAGATCTGGGCGTGGGGTGCTCCCGGCTCGGTGCTCGGGGCCGGCCGCGTGAAGCGTCAGGCGTCTGCACAGCGGAGAGGTGTGAGGTGCGCCCCGGTGCACTCGAGTCAGCTTGCGCGGTGTCGTCGGTGCTCGGATTAGGGCCGTCCCGAAGTGGGACCTGGCGCGCTGAAATGGCCATTGACATACGGCCGCAGAGCCAGCCTGGGTCCCATCGTCCACACCACATACGGCCCCTCAGGCCCCAGAAGTGATTCCTGAAACCGGTCCCCAAACGAGACGTTTACAGAAGTGACTAGACAACCACCAGCAGCAGCCAGTGCCCTGGAAGGCACCTTTGCCTGGGGCCTCCCAGGCAGTGCTGGGATCCCCATCACCCCGTGTGATTCTCCAAGCCTGCCAGGACTAAGCACCACCACACGGTGCCCAAAACAAAAAAGAAAAAAAAGAAAGAAATGCATGCAAGAAATGCACCCTCCAGCCCTGGAAGGTTTTTATTTACTTATTTATTTATTTATTTACTTTGGTGACACCTGGCAGTGCTCAGGGCTTAACGCCTGTCCCTAGTTACCTGCACAGGGGTCACTTCTGGTGGTGCTTGCTGGACTGTATGTGGTGTTGGGTTTGAACCTGGGCTTCTGGTGCAGTGCTGCTGGCCGCGGAACCTTGGCTTCCTGCGCACACCCGTGCCGCCCCCGTTTGCTCTGCAGTATGCACAGGGCCACCCAGGTTTTGGTCACAAGTTGAGGCCAGGGCTAGAGGAATAATTTGGTGCCAGCCTGGGTTCTATCCTCAGCATCCCATCTGGTTCCCCTTAGCACTGCCAGGAGCGATTCCTGAGTATTGCCTGATGTGACCCCGGAACAAACCCCAACAGCCCGAGGCCAGTGGTTTTCTTAGCAAAGACCAGGGCAGAGCAGACTGGGCGGTTTAGGATTGGCTACTTGACTGATCTTGTAGACTTGGACTTTAATTGCCTGGCATTTGCCCTGGCAGTTATCAGCTTGGTTTGTGACAGCTGAGGTGTTGCTTAGCTTGCCTGGCTTCTTCCTCCCCCCCCCCCCCCCACTTGCCTCCCCAAGAGCCATGTTCTTATGTTGATTAGTATCTTTGGGAAAGGCAATCTCCACTGGCAAGATTTTTCTTTTTCTTTTCTTTTTTCTTTTTTGTTTTGGGCAGCATGTGGTGGTGCTTAGTCCTGGCAGGCTTGGAGAATCATACGGGGTGATGGGGATCAAACCTGGGTTGACTGCATGCAAGAAATGCACCCTCCAGCCCTGGAAGGTTTTTATTTATTTATTTATTTACTTTGGTGACACCTGGCAGTGCTCAAGGCTTAACGCCTGTCCCTAGTTATGTGCACAGGGGTCACTTCTGGTGGTGCTTGCTGGACTGTATGTGGTGTTGGGTTTGAACCTGGGTCAGATGTGAGTAAGGCATCCTTAACCATTGTAC